CAAAGGGGTCATAGCTGGCACCTCTGCTTACACGTTTATCAGCAGGACCTGCCTGGCGCAGACAGCGGGTATACCTGCCACTGTCAGCTGCCGTCTGCTGAGTTGTTCCCCATTTTGTTTGTCCACAGTCACTGATGTGCCAGCTTCTGGGCATGTGGCCCTAGAAGTAGATAAGCCAGGTCTTTGTCTACAAGTTTCCCTTCAATGTGACCGAAATGTTCATTCGAATCTTTAATAGCTAAAGACAACATTCCCTTGAAACTCCACGGCGGCTGGGTCTGAGCGGTCCCTCTTAGTTTTTCTCTCTCCTTCCTGCTGGCCACTCTTTCCAGTGCCTCCCTATTCCCCATTATGATCATTAAGTAACTGAGGACAGCTGGCATCTGGGTGATTTGGAATAGGATTAAAAGCAAGCGGTGGAGCAGAGAGAACTTGAGAGTGCTCTGGGGCTCAGGAAGCTCGTGACTGGGTTATCAGCACAGACAAGGAACAGTCAGAGCCCAGAGGCATCACCCTGCCCTAACACACATGCCCATCCCCCCTGCCTAGCCAGACACAGGGCAGCCCCAGCCCCTCCATGGGTCTGGCACATTCCCTGCCCTTCACTGTTGCAAGTACAGATTTACAAGAGCAGACTCATTCATGAGGAGCAAGCAAAGCAGGAATGAGAGGGGATTATGGACTTGCTGGAGGCTGCAGACCTTGCCTGACCAAGGGGGCTGCCCTTGCACCTACTTCAAATGAGCATGTCCTGTGCTAGCCAGGGCTGGGCAGTGAAGCTATCCGCTTGTCCTCAAAATGCCACTGCCTTAGTTTGTGTGTTTTAAAACACTGGCATCAAACAAATTCTTCATTTGGTTTTAGATCATTTTCTAGAAATAGTTATTTTGATAAAGGCTTTAAGCCTTGGTCTTGTATTGATTCAGTAAACTCAAGGATTTTATTATGGTAGGTAAAAACACATACCATGATGTGCACACTGGCTCTCAGCCTTGAATGTCTAAAGATGCACTCAACAAGTGTTGTCCTGTGGCAATACCACCCTCCAAAGTTTCCAGCAGGCAAATTCAGAAAATGCTCTCCCTAGAGCCTCCTGCAGTCAAGGACATGGGACCAGATCAAAAAAGGGAATCAGGAAAATTTCATAGGGCTTCCAACCCATAAGGTACTAACACATGGTTCTTAGCTTAGCGACGGGTATCTGTGTGATTTCCAAACACTGAGTTCCACCCTTCCTGGATCTCCTAAGCAGAGCAAACTAAGCTTGAGGATCAGAGAGCCTACAAGATGTGCATTGTCCAGACAGATATCCTGACCTGGTGTGGGACACAGAGTTCCTGCTTCCCCTACACGTCTAGCATGGATCTACTCTGAGCTCTGCTGCTGCTGGCCAGCCATGCTGTCCCAGCACCAGTGTGGACCCTTCCCCTGCCTCATCCTGGCAGCATCCTAAGCTCCTCCCAAGCTCAGCCAGCTCCCCAGCTCTTTTCCTCCTTGCAGCATCATTGGCATTAGGCTAAGAAGCCAAGTGACTTTCATTATGAAAAACAAGCATCATAGGAGGAGAAACAGCCTCTGTCATCAGTATGCAGCAGCCTCTGGATTTGGTACTGATGTACATTTACTGACACTGAACAGCCTTGATGAAACCCTTTACTTCGTTATGCTAACCTAAAAAAACTAAAAATTAATTTTAAAAAATGATTTTGAACTAACTCCTTCACACACAGGAGTTAAGTGTCCATGGACTTTGATTTCCACTTCAGGAGGTGAGGGCATCAGCTGAGGGTCACGCTGCTCATCAGCTCCAAGAATAGAACTTGAGTGATCACTGCCCCATAAGACACTGGCTTTAAGATGATAAGAATGCAGAAAGAATGAGCCTCAGTTACCCATCTAATAAGAACTTCTTGTTCTGCTCTGTAGAAGCCAGACGCCACGTGTTCTGGGTGGGGGCTGAAGAATGCATTGATTGGCTCCTTGTGGCACTTTCTTACCCCCGCCAACCAAGGCACCCTCTAAACACATTCCTCATAATCGCCACTGTGCTGGGGGTTGGAAATATTGAGGGGTGAGTGAAAAGGTGCTGAGAACTAATCTTTCACCAATTTGAAGACACCGAATGTTGGGGGGCGGTGGTGGACTCTGGAAGGTCACTTTAGTAACATCTGCCTGGCCAGGTTCTCTTCTCATTATTATCCTGTTTTTGCTCGCTTTTCTCCTTGCTGTGGGAAAATACCCTACAAAAGCCACTCGAGGAAGGGTTTAGTTTCTCTCTCCGTCCGTTGTGGGGGAGGCATGACAATGATAGCAGCAGCAGCCAGTCCACATTGCACCCACAGCCAGGAAGCAGAGATGGATGCTGACACAGAGCTCAGTTTCTCCTTTTGATTCAGTCAGGACCCCCCCCCCCAACATGCGATGGTGCTGCCCACATTCAGGGTGGGTCTTCCTTCCTGCATTAAATCTATCCAGAAATGTATGCACAGACACGCCCAGCGGCGTGTCCTTGGGGATCCCAAATCCAGTCAGGTTGACAATATGAGTAATCATCACAGCCTTTTTTTATTGCTGGTTTTGAATTTTTTGTGAGATACATAGATATCTCACTATGTAGCCCGGGCTAACCTCCAACCAAAGATCCTCCTGCCTCAGCAGACTCAGTGTTGAGGCTCTGGGCCATAATTAACCTCTGTATGGCCAAATTAAAGGACTTCTGTGGTACAGAGCCAGTTCTTCTCAAATGGTCATGCTGACTGCTTCTGACTGTTTGGTGGCTCTAAATGGGGGTGCATTTCAGAATTTGAGAGCAAGATGGAGACTTATAGGTGGATGGCACCCCCTCCCCATGAGAGCACCTGAATTGTCCCCTTCTCTATATTTCCAAGAAAATAGATCAGATACTCAAAGAAGACTTGCCAGGGTCTCCGGTGGCAGTCAACTCTCTGTCACTCAAACAAGATCTTTCTGGTATCTAAACACGGTCCTCTCAAGAACTGTATGGTTTCTGGAGCCAGCTGAACTAGAGGTCAGCCATGGGTTTCCCTGAATGACCAGTGAGGAATATAGAAAGGCTCTATGTACCAGGAACAAACAGAGTTACTGTCCCCATGGAGCTAAACAGTAGCATGACCTCACTGACCTCTAAGAAGTGTGCAGAAACTTCAGAAGGGCGGAAGTAGGGAGTGACCCACAAAGGAGTGGAGCCCACTGTGTGGCCAGAGAAGCCCTCTGTTGGTCATGGGTGGAGCTGTGCCACGTACTCGGTAAAGATGTGTGAGGGAGGCTCCTCCATTGTCAGTGATGCCCCTAGTTTTATACCCAGATGTAGTGTCACATTGATATGACCTGTGTGAGCCTCTCTTTCTCTGCTCATCTACACCATCACCATCGTTTGCATTGACCAACCGACAGAACATGCAGACTGAATCTGTTAGTGACCACTAAATGAATGACTCTCCCCCAACTCCCCCACCCCAGTACTGCCAACTATAGGAATCTGTGGGCTAGCTATACTAGTCCACTCTAATATGCGCACAACTTGCCTGAGGAGCTTGCTAAAATGTAGATTTCTAGTCTGCAGGGCTGGACAGAGCATGGGAATCTTCCTCCTGTCCAATTTCTAAAGCAGGCTGCCAGCCAGCATGGACCACACTTAGAGTTATGTCACCAGGTTCTGCCGCCTTTCTTTCTGAGATCTGAATTTTTGTGTCTGGGTCCATTGACGTTGCCATTAACAAGGATATCAGGTTTGGAGAACTTCAATATCTAAAGTCTGAGTCCGTGGGAAGGTTCAAATACATAATATCAAAGCTCAGGATGCTGAGGCAGGAGGATTGAGAATTTCATTCTAGTCTGGATTACACAGCAAGACTATGTCTTTGGTAAAAATTATTTTATTAATTTTGTTTTAATTAATTATTTAATCAAAAACCTGGTTTGACTTCTACTCCCTTGGGTAATCTAGAAACACAGCACACTAGGATACACAGGGGCTTGCTGCCCTGACTGCAACTGACCATCCAGAATCCCCGAGAATCCTGACTGTCACCATCATCGGGTGACCGTAGCATGCACTGGGGACAAGAATTCCCACTGGACAGTTCCCTCAGCTGAACTCTCCCAGTGAGCCAAGTTTGCAGGCACTAACCATCGCCCATTTGGGTGTTTTTTCCCTTACTCTCACTGTGGGCGTGCATGGATATTCCTGGAGCAAGCACATTTGACACCATGCTAGTAGACATTCCTAGGGGTGCTCTTTCTACAACCAGGCAAGCAGGCCCCACCCCGGAAGACCATAAATCTTTCAGATGATGAGGAACCGTCTCACCTTTCCTCATTGTTACGACAAAAGCAACTTAAGGAAGGAAAAACTGACTTTGGCTCGCAGTCCATCGTGTGACTAGTCAGTGTGGTGGCAGGAGCAGGTGGTCACACTGGGTCCGCAGTCTTGATGTGGACAGAGATGGACCCTGGCCCTCAGCTCTCTTTCTCATTTCTCCTCTTTCTTCAGTGAGGGACCCCACCCCATGGGACGATGCTGCCCACATTCAGGCATTCTCCTCTTCACCTAAACCTCTTGTATATACCCAGAGGAGTGTCTTCAAATAATTTTAAATCCAGTCACACTGACAATGGAGATTAGACATCAGGCCTACACTGGGAGTGAGTCTTCAAAGCTCCCCTGCCCTGAGACCAGCATTGTCAGCTCTGAAGGTCATGGGCAGTGACCCCAGGGACCCAGAGCTGGGATAGACTTTGTTATGCTCTCCTCTTTTCTGAGGAAATATGATGGGGAACCATGGCACCCATCTCACAGTAGGAACAGTGAGGGCAAATATCTATGCCACAGGGGCAAAAACCAATTCCCTTTCACGTCTGCTTACTTCCAGTCATTTAACTGTGAACACTTGATTAAATAGCCATAGTTCCGAAACAGGTATTCATCCATTTGGGGAAAAAAAAAAACTGGCCCCGTGAACAGACATCCTGCGGGATCCATGGGTGTTTTTATGATCTGCCTTGTACTCTGTGACTTATTCAGTGTCCCTGGGACCTCCTGGAGCTGACTGGTTGTGATCCTGTGACTTTGCAGGTCTGACCTGGATAAGGCACAGAGATGGGGAAAAAGCTGGACCTTTCCAAGCTCACAGATGAGGAGGCCAAGCACGTGTGGGCAGTGGTTCAGCGGGACTTTGACCTAAGGAGGAGAGAAGAAGAAAGACTCGAGTAAGTGTCTGCCTGCGCCCTAGAGACCAGGTCCTCTGATGTCCCTAGCGGCTGCCATGTCAGGTGCCCTGGGTGTGGTCATGGCCAGAGCTACAGGGTGAGCAGAATGGACAGGAAGTCCTGATCTGGGAACTGGCTCCTTTTTCAAGCTTGGAGTTCCCCATCATGGAAGTGAGGCTCTCTATTCTCTGAAGAGCTCATTTGAACTTGACTCCAATCTGGGTGCAGTCTCATGAGTCACATGGTCCCGGGGCCCCACCTAGAAGGGAAAAAAGGAGCTACTGGTGCTACGTGGGGAGTGTGGCATGGCCCTGAATCACTTGGACACTGAGATTTGGGCAGAGGCTGGCTTCCACCCTGTTCAGTGATGTGAAGGGCACCGTTCTTCCTGGTGACCCCAGCTTGTGTAACTCATTCTCCGCCCCCCCCCTGCACCTGAGCCAAAATTTACCTCATTGCCTACACTTCTCTCTGCCTCGCTTCTGCCTCTGCCTGAACTGTCCCTTCCCTGTCTTTCGTGTTCAGCTTACTGAGGAGTTGGGAGGACTGAACAGAAGCAAAGGAAGGCAATTAAGGGCAAGCCTGAAAAATGCAAGGGGTAGGAGAAAACCACACGGGCTCTAGGGGTTGGCCTGTAGAGGTCTTAGGATTGGGGGCCATGGCTCATCTGACAGCAGAGAGGAAAGACTATTGTAGGAGGTTCCTGGGGCGGGAACTCAGAGAAAGCCCAGAGAAGAGGCTGTCAGGCAAGGAGGAGCCTTTGGGTACCAAAACATAGCAGAGTCCAGGACAAATCACCAAAGACAAGCCCAGTTCAAGGCCACCACGCAGTAAAAAGTTCTAGTATTATGGGAAGGGGCAATCAGGGCCATCTCTCCCAGTCAGCTCCTCTCTCCTTCCTGCCTTGCTCTGCCGCTCACCCCCAGTCTCCACCCTGAATCGGCCCCATCTTGAACCAGTTCTATCACCACCACCCCTGCTTGGCCTGGGGCAAAACTGCCCTCTAGCACAGACCTAATGCACACAGCAGTCTGGACCCACTTTCCAGGCAACTGACATCCAAATTTGCCACTAGCTCTCTTCCCACCCATCTCCAGAGCAGAACTGGCTGTGGCCGGGTGTGTTGATCATCTTAGACCTTCATTCGCGGTGACATACAAAGGGACAAAGTACAGGGGTGCCAGGCAAATGCCATCCTCCCAGGGACTTGGAAGAAGTCAGGTTCGACCTCCATCCAAGTTCAGTGAAATTCCAGGTGTTTTTGCATGCCTCTGGACCACTTCCTTCTAACATCTGGCTTTCCTTATTCCTTGCTCCTTTGTGAAGAAAACGGTTACCTCTAAGTGCTTTTAAGTACTTCTAAGTTGTCGTTGGATAGGAAGCATCTTGCAAGGACCTCCCCAGCTGGTGGGCTAGCCACAGTCAGGGGCCCTGCCATTTGCACAGGGTGAGCCAGCAGGGGTAGATGTGGCTGGCTGAGGATGTTGTGTCTCACAGCAGCTATGGGACTAGGAAACGGGTATGTGTAAAGTCCCAAATGCCTATCAGGTGGGGAGAGGGTGTGCACAATGCTCACATCACAGAGGACTGGGGTGACATCTGCAAAGGGGCAGTGACAGAAAGTCAGCTGCAAAATCCCTGAGACCCGAATGGTACATCGGCTTTCACTGCGCAAACACAGATAATACGACAGCTGGCAACAGACCTGGGAGACAGTCATGCGGCAGGGGGCTGACAAAGGGGCTTCTTGTGGCTCTTGAGGTTGCTGTTCCGGTCCTGTGTTCGCTGCCTTGGGAAGTCTATGGCTAAAGGGTAGCCCTGCTTTTTCCCTGTGACTAGCCTCTTTGTAAGTCCAGCCTGACCCCAGGAAGTAGCAGGGTACAGGGCATAGGTCCTGGGGCAAGTTGGGAGGAGCACGGTGAGGTCACAACAGGACCATTAGGCTCTGCTCACACTGGGCAGGGCTGACTCTGAAAAGGCAATATTGAAACGGGCACAAAACCAAAACCAGGTTCTCGGTGGCAAAATTGGTTCAGCAAAGTGAGCTGACTAAAATAAGAGTCCCATTCCTTTTGTCCCAGTTCTTCCAGCCGCTGTGGCCTGGAACCCCTTCTTGCAGGGACAGCATACCTGGGCTGTGTACTGTGATATCCCACAATACTCACCACTGGTCAGGCTTGGGTGTGAGCATAGGTCACCCTTGAGGGTAGAGGGACCCATGAGTATTGATTGTTCTTCCCTGCTTGTTCATGGCATAAAATACCCACCACGTCTCCCTCACTGACTGGCGTCAGGAACTTTTGTGAACCATCTGTCAACCGCTCAAAGAACAAATTCATCCTGCGCTATTTAAACGTCTGCATACCAGAGTGTGTTTGTAAACCTCACCCTGATGCCTTCCACTGATGAAGAAAGAAAAGTACAGGCCTGATGAAGTCACCATATTGACCTCCCAAAGGCAGGTTACAAAAGCCACCACCCACATGTGGCTATTTGAATTCACTGAAGCTAAATGAAAGATTGTAAGTCCTTGGTCTCACTAGCCACTCTTCAAGTGTCCCCAAGCCATGAGCGCATGTGGTGGCTGCCAGCATTCCAGTCCCCAAAATGGTAAATTTAACAATGAGCTTCATGACAGATTTCTTGCTAGGCCTGGACAGCAAGCCAAGACCCTTCTAAACTGTTGATTCGATGAACCTGTCCAGTCCTCAGATTGTACATCCAGCCGACAACTCATAATTCGTCTCCCCCCAAGACCTCATTACCTTCTCGGTAGCTCAAGTCAAGCTGCCAGAAGTCATGCGTGTTCCTCTCCTTTCCCATTCATGTATCCACAAGCCCATGAGAATATGTCCCCAGGGTAACTTCAGTTTACCGCCTTCGATGCTAGCCCCAAGTCAGGCCTCACCAACTCTACACAAACTGAGGGCGATTCCTGCTCATTCCTCCTACTGCCACTGCCCTCGTATCCATCCCCCCCCTCAGACCCCAGTGTCATGGCTTAAAACGAAGGTACAAATCATGTCACACTCTTATTCTCTAAAGAACATTCCATTGGGCTTAACGATGCAGCTGCCTTCTCACTGTGGCTCATGGACCTCATTCCTGCCCAGTGTGACGTCCCACAGCCTCATGTGACAGGAGATGGGTGACTTGCTTGTCAGCCTCTTGTGTCCTTACTGCACAAGCTTGCCATATGTCACCAGGGTCTGACATGGTTACTAGTGGGCTCTGCAGCCAGGAGAGTTGCACTATGACACTTGAGCTCCATCTGTGTGACCCCACTCCATCCCTAGTGATCCTGTGGCTGCTGTTGTCCTAATTTGCAGAGAGGGAAGGCTAAGAAGGAAGCAGGTCCCCATGTGTGAAGAATGCCCTTGGGAGTGTCAGGAGGGGACAATTAGCTGTGCAGTTTTATATTATTATCCTCAATGATTTTGCCCACATAATCCTTACTCCAGCTAGAAGTGTCATTTAAAGTTATTCACAGTATCAGTGTCCAACCTGTTCAGGCTTCTCCATCTACCTTCAAATAAGGTCCAAACTTTGCATTTGGTGGCGAGTTTTCTCCTTCCTCCTCCATCTCCTCTTCCGTGCCTCCTCTCTCCCTCCATTCCTCCTCTTCCTCTCCTGACTCCTCTCTCTTCTCCTATCTCTGAAGGGGGTCTCTCTATACAGCTCAGGATCCTCTTGCCTCATCCTCCTCAGTGCTGGCTTTATAGGAGAATGATACTGTCACTGAGAAAGCTTCACCCCAGCCCCTGGCATCCATATACCCAGAGAGTCTGGAATGTTATGATGGAGGTTCCACCCAAACTCCCTCCCCTCTCTCTCTCTAAACCCATGCTGCATCTCAGAAAGGCCCCCAAATGATGACCCCCTCCTCCAGAGGTGCTCAAGGCCACTCTCACAGGGTATTTAAACTGCCCCCAGAAAACAGACTCATGGTTTTTCCCATCTCTTTTTCCCATTTCCTCTCTGGGGTGCTGGAAGTGCATCCAGGAGCATTGTATCCATTAAATGTGGCTTTTCTAATTCGGTTTGATTTTGTCTGATTTGAATTGCTGTTTCGGTGGAGAGACTTATCAGGGTGCAGGAAATTTTCATTTGGAGTCCAGCTCAGTTTTCTATCTTTTCAGTCATGTTTAGTCTATAAGCTATACACACATACACCTCTCTCTCTCTCTCTCTCTCTCTCTCTCTCTCTCTCTCTCTCTCTCTCTCTCTTTTGAAGCTTGTCGTAGAAGGAGCTGGCTGTTTAATTCTGTGGTCTTTCTTCCACAAGCTGAAGTTTCCTAGTTAACATCCCTCTAGCCTTTGGATCACAGTTCGTTGTTCTGTTTTCCTGAGTTGAGAGAGAATTCCTTAGAAGTGTCTCTTAGTTTCTTATCTTCCATGCATTCCACATGTGTCACCTGGGGCTTTAAAAAGTTTTAAAGCTTTTTATAATCACATGTTATTATTTTTATGCTATACAAACACAGCATTGCCAAAGCAAACCTTGGATGTAACACCCAGTTAAGCCCGTCCCTCCTGGGACACCCCCATCCATCCTGGACTTCAGTGGCCTGGTACTGTGTACAAAGAAGGCAACCTCAGTGGGGATTGAGAGCCTGCACCCCGGTCTTGCCTCATGCCCTGAATATTTAAGATCCTCAACATCTCTCCCTCAGTATATAAGGGTCCAATGCTCAGCTGAAGCTGTGGTGGAAATCACTGGATGATCCCAAAACCCAGCAAGACCAGTGAGCTGGTGCATTGCCAGCCTTGGTGACTCATGTCCTTAGGAAGGGAGGAACTGAAGTATGCTTAAATGGCACATCCTGCCCAAAGGACGCAGCCCACTGATCAAATATTAGACCTGTTAACCTTCCCAAAGGCAAATAGGTGGTAGTGTGGAGTTTTGATCTCTGCAAATACACAGGAATTCCTGAGATAATGAGCTAACAGTGCCAGCTCATTAAAAAGTCAACCGAAGGAGCTATGTAACCTAGGACTGTCTCCAGCCACGGGAAGCTGGGGTTACTGGTGTGTATCCCTGCATCCAGTTGGAGGAGTTGACTTTTTTTTTTTTTTTTTTTTTTTTTGTTCTTCTTGTTTTGTTTACTTGTTTGTTTTTGTTTTGGATAATTCTGGACCTTAATTTTGGTCACCCCTTGTAGTTTCTTGTAGGTTGATTCTGATGTGGGCTGTCAACCCTTATTGATGAGCTTTTCATTCTGACTTCCAGTCTGTCTTTCCCCTGGAGAGAATCTTCTGGCTGTGTGTGATTTTTGAAACTGAGCTTTTGAAAACCATGGCTTCCCTGAGTTGTTCAGACCTTCAAACGGTACCATGTCCATTCAACAGAAGAAAACTAAGTCACAGTTTCCTCCTTTCAGATGACTCTAGCTTGTGTTAATTTGACACAGAATTAGCCAGCATAATTTCACTCCTTGTCAACTTGACAAACTCATCACTGTTAAGCCATAACCGTTCCTTTCTCGTTCTTCCCCAAGATCGCACACTAATGTGAACATCACAATATAAATGCTCCAACTTTTAAACGTCTTTAAAAATTCAAACACTTAAAGAGATCAGTCTCTTTGAAGTAGCCAGTCTCTTCCAAGACCCAGTCTCTTTAACGTCTCTCAACCATGGGCTCCTATAAAATCAAAACTCCTTCCTTACTTCCAGAAGGAAGAACCAGGACATAGTCACAATATGAACAAAGTGAAACTAACTCCAAAGAGTTGTCTGGGATTCATTCACCATCTCCTGGGCTCCTCCATGGGGCTTGGGTCACTTCTCCAGCTCTGCCCTCTGCAGCACACACAGCTAGTCTTCCAGGCTCTGGCTGGCTCCGCGGCTGCTGCTATTGGTATTCGTCCCTCGGTACTGGCATTTCCAAAACTCTGGGGACTCCGCTACAACTGGGCTGCATTTTCATCCATAGCCTCCTCTGGGCGCTCTTCATGGTCCCAAGCCTCAATTTCTCTGCATGACTCCTTCAATGCATGGCCTTCAACTGTTACTGAGGCTGTGCCTTCATCAGCGGCTTCCCCTGGCCTCTCACAGTGCCAAGCCTCAGCAGCTCTCCATGACACCTTCATGCCTTCCAACCCAGCACCAGCTGGGCAACTCTTCCACGGCTAAGCCCAGCTGCCAATGCAAGGTAAATCCTTGGCTGCCCCTGAAAACAGCTTCTGTGTGTGGAGTCTCAGGAAGTACTTCCAGATCCCACCTCAACGATGCTGGCCTCGTCTTAAACCAATGCTAACTTACCAGCTCTAGCTGACCAGCATCAAGTATCCCAGCAAAGCAAAAGTTTCACTTTAGTAGTTCTGGTATCTTGTTAATCACAGCTGATTCTTGACCCCCAACTAACCAGAACTATGTAGTCTTAGTTCAAAACAACTAATGGCCCCTCAGTAGTCTTTAAACTTCCCCCTCAAACTTCATAAGCCAGGCCTCCATCTTCTGCATTTCTCTCAATATTCTTATCTCCCAAGCTCCTACAGAGCTCTCAAGACTCAATGGCTTTTCTAGCCCAAAGTCCCAATGCCCTTCCACAACCCTCCCCCAACATGGTCAGATCTGTCAACCAATACCCCATTCCTGGTACCAACTTGTCTTAGTTAGGGTTGCTATTACTGTGATGGAACCATGACCAAAGAAACTTGGAGAAGACAGGGTTTATTCAGCTTATACTTCTACAGCACTATTCAAGGAAGTCAGGACAGGAACTCAAGTGGGGCAGAATCCTGTAGGCAGGAGCTGACACAGAAACCATGGAGGGGTAGTGCTTACTGGCTTGCTCCCCAGGGCTTGCTCAGCCTGCTTTTTAGTAGAAGCCGAGACCACCAGTCCAGAGGTAGTAAAACCCACAATGGGCTGGGCCCTCCTCCATCAATCACTACTTAAGAAAATGTCCTACAGCCAGATCTTATGAAGGCATTTCCTCAATTAAGGTTCCCTCCTCTCAGATAACTCAAGTATGTGTCAAGTTGACATAAAACTAGCCAGCACAATGTGCTAGTCACTCTCGTTCAGAAATGATGCATTCTAATGTCTGAAATGGTGCCATGCCTGTAGACATTGTGACACTTCCCATATATCCATACCCAAGATACAGTTGAGCTGATACACTAGGTACAAGAAGGGAGTAACAGCACAGCTAAAAATAGAATAGGATGTTTACAAAAACACATCACAAGAACTACGAAAATTAAATACAAAAAGATCAGGACTCAGTAAGTGGACTAATGGCCTTAATAGAGAGCTCTCAGAAGAACTGCAAATACAATATATACTTGAAAAGAGTGGTCAGCATCCTTGGGCACCAGGGCAATGCAAATGAAAACCCGCTTTGTGGTCCCAGCCCAGTCACAATGGCTACCACCGAGAAAAAAAGGACTGACAACAAGCGCTGGCAAGGATGTGGAAACAAGCACTCATTCACTGCTGTCATAAATATAGACCAGTTCCAGCCACAATGGACGTCAATATGGAGGTTCTTGAAAATAGAACTCGGCTATGCCAGGCCTGGGCTCACACTCCACGGAAACACTGCTTAAGTATCTGAAACCCAGGAAACGGAACCAGTCTAGACGTCCATCAACAGATGGACCAATGAAGACATCGTGGTATGTGTATACAGTGGAATTTTACACGGCCATGTGGAAAATTGTGATCATGTCATTTGTAGAAATAGGGGCGCAACCATGAACCTTTATGCTACATGAAATAAGCCAGCCCCCGAAAGACAAGTGTTTATATTTTTATGCATCTATTTGTGTTTACGCCTGTGTGTTTATAGGTCACAAAACTAGAAAGAGGATCATAAAGGGGGGGTAGGATAAATAAACCTTTGTTTGTTTATGTGTTTTTTGTTTGGTTTGGGTTTTTTGGGTTTTTTGTTTGTTTGTTTGCTTGCTTGTTTGTTTTTGAGACAGGGTCTCTCTGTGTAGCCCTGGATATCTATGTAAACCAGGTTGGTCTCGAACTCACAAAGATCTGCCTGCCTCTGTCTCCCAAGCGGAATTAAAGGTGTGTACCACTATACCCGCCCTGTGGGAGAAATGAGGTGGGAATAGGGAGGGTAACGGATTCCATGTAAAAGGAAAGCTTAAGCAGGGACTAAGAGAAGAAAAGGAACCAGTTTGGTGGGGGGCATAGTGGGGAGGGAGACAGTTCAGAACAAAGTATAGTCAAAGTATGACACATGTGTGAAGATGCCATGACGAAGCCAAATGCTTTGTAGTCTAATTTTAAAATGTATAAAAAGCAATATAATATTTAAAATTATATGACTTTTATCTCTGTCTCTCTCTGTCTCTGTCTCCATCTCTCTCTCTCTCTCCTATACACATCCTTCTATTTCTTGTTGACCATGGAAGTAAGCCAGTGCCACTTCAGGCCAGATGTAACTTCCCAGGACCCCTCTGCATGCTGGAGTGTCCCCGCAGAAATTGAAAATTTGAAAGTTCTCAGGAGACAGTTGACCCAGTGTCTTTGGAATTTTTCTTCTCACTCAGGACGGATTACCATTACCCCATCTAAAACTAAAAACATTATGCTTGGCAGGTATTCCGTGAACTCAGAACAAAGGGGGTTCATTTATTAGGACCTGGGGTCCATTTTCCAGTCAGTTCCAGCTGGCTCCCCTTGGCAAGCTTGCCAGGAAGCTGTGGTACTTTAAACTGGATGATCCCGAAGAACAGGTTTCTCCTGGGACTTCCAGGTGCAGGGTGATTCCTGTCTGGAAATACTCCAAGCCAAGCACCTAGGTCAGGCTCTGCAGGAACAACCCTGGGCCTCAGCTTGGTGCTTACTGGAAGACATCCAAAACCACTTGCTGAGGAAATGTCCCCTGGCCTTGCCTCGGAATTCTCTGGCCCACAAGAGAGGGCACAGAGTACAATAGTAAATGCCACCACAATGGTTAAGGGCAGTGCCATTTCTGTGAAAATCATAGGTTCCTACTCTAGCCTACCAAAATTGTATGTGATTAAGCCTGACCTCTTTGTCCCCTCCAGGAAGAGGGCAAACTGGCTCTCTGCTGATGGTCAAGATGCCTGTGAGTGCCTTGGCTCAGTTTGAGCCATTGCCTTCTGCATATGGAAGTGCTGTGTGTGTGTGTGTGTGTGTGTGTGCATGTGTGTATCTGTCTGTCTGTCTTCACACTGTGTGCACTCACACACCTCATGTAGTAACAAAACGTCCAATGTATTTCTTGTTCCTACATTTTCCCCAGGGGACTGAAGGGCAAGATACAGAAAGAGAGCTCGAAGAGGGAGCTGCTGTCCGACACAGCCCATCTGAATGAGACCCATTGTGCCCGCTGCCTGCAGCCCTACCGGCTGCTCGTGAACAGCAGAAGGCAGTGTCTAGAGTGTGGCCTCTTTGTCTGCAAAAGCTGCAGCCATGTCCACCCAGAGGAACAGGGCTGGCTCTGCGACCCCTGCCACTTGGCCAGGTGAGCCTGGAGGCAGAGCATCCCTAATGGTGCCTAAGCCTGGTGTGTCACTATGGTGGGGTTGGAGGGGAAGACATTGCCTCAGGCTTGCACTCATCTCCCTGCAGAGTTGTGAAGATTGGCTCGCTCGAGTGGTACTACCAGCATGTAAGAGCCCGTTTTAAACGCTTCGGGAGTGCCAAAGTGATCCGGTCTCTCTGTGGGCGGCTTCAGGGTGGAGGTAAGGGGAGGACTGGCCTGGAGATGTTCTGGGCATGCTTTAATTTTGAAGAACCATTAAGTGTGGTTGGTTGGCACAGACCTCTGGAGCCCTCTGTCAACTTCCAGCCCCCTGGGAGTTGCTTGCTATAAACATCCCCAATATTTGAAGTCATTGTTTTTGTGGGGTTTTTTTTTTTTAATTTTACACCACATTGAGGACTCGTAGCCAGGGAGCTATGACTGTCACTTAAAAGTCAGCAGAGTTTCAGCTTGGCCCTCTTGAGAGCTGTGGGAATTAAAGCTTCCTGCCTTCGATAACCAGCCATTCTCAAAACTGTCTCTGTGATGGCCAGTAGGTGGCGCTGTGGTGGGACACCACCACCACCACCACCACCACCAACAACAACAACAACAACAAAACAGGCACTTCCTTGCAAGGAGTCCCATCAACCCAGCTGAGAGCAGTCTCAGACTTCCTCTTCCCCCACCCCTTGATCCCAAAGCTTTATTCTCCCCTGCTGGGCTCCTGTAAACAGCACAGCAAGACCCAAAGCAAGGAAGGAGCTGGCACTGCCTTAGACTACTTTATTCTCTTTCATATGCATTAAAATTAATCGTGTGTGTGTGTGTGTGTGTGTGTGTGTGTGTGTGTGTGTGTGTGTATGAGGGGGGGGGGTACATGTGAGCTCAGGTCCATGCATGTCGGAAATCACTGGAGCATGTGAATCTAGAGTACAGATTCGTGTGGACCCACCACCATGACCACCCAATGTGGCTGGGAACTGAACCCAGCTTCTCTGCATGAACACTGTGTACTTTTGGCTGCCGAGCCGACATGTCTGAGAGCTGACCCAGCCTGGGCATGGTGTCATTTCAGATCTCCTTGAGAAAGGCTCTTTCCCAGCAGGTTTTCCCGCAGGCAGCAGGATTTACTTGTCAACAGTGGGGTCTCAGCTATCTCCCTTTTGGTCAGGTGACACAGGCAGGGCATCCCTGGTCTGTGGCAGGAACATGGGAACCCTTTGGACTTGTGTGACATGACCGATGAGACAGGTGACTAGTGTAGCTGGGGCCTGTGTCCTCAATGTAGAGAGAAGTCAGAAGTCGTATCTGGAAGGACCCTGAAGGCTTGGGGGGAGTGCTTAGCTTTTGATGTCACCCAGCAAGTCAGTTGGTGCCTCCACAGCCTACATGCTTGCTTCTGCTGACACAGACCCTTCCCAGTCTGCCACCCTGCAAAGGCGACTCTGCCCACCATGCTCCCTACAGGCTCAGGCTCAGACAGAGCAGGCATGGGCTAGAGGGAAGGAAAGAAAGCAAACTGAGAGCGCCCCCAGGCTCATGACCCAGGATCCCAGCGGTACAGGCAGGAAGCAGGTCCCTGGTGTCCCTCCAGCACTTGCCCAGGTGGTTGTCCATAGGCAGCAGTGACACACAGGATGAGGGGTCAGAATGTAAACTGACCAAGGCCACTGTGCATTAGAACACACCGAGGAACCAGAGCCATCTGAGGCCTGAGTGCCCTGCTGTGGAAATGACAAAGAAACCCATGCAGGGTTTCAGATGCATGGATGGATAGATGGATGGATGGATGGATGCATGGATGGATGCATGGATGCATGGATGGATGGATCAGAGGTTAGATAGAAGGAAAGAAAAGAAAGATGGACAGGTATATAGTGGTGAACAGGTGCTTGGCTGGGTGGATGGATAGATAAATATATAAAAAGAAGAAAGAAAGAAAGAGGAAGGATGGAAGGAAAAGAGGAAGGGAGGGAGAGATGGGAGGATGGGAGGAGGGATGGGAGGATGGGGGAGGGATGGGAAGATGGGAGGAGGGATGGGAGGAGGATGGGAGGAGGGATAGGAGGAGGGATGAGAGGAGGGTGGGAGGAGGGATGGGAGGATGAGAGGAGGGTGTCAGTTACTTTTCTATTGCTGTGGAAAGATATCATCATATAGGAGTTTATTTGGGGCTCATAATTTCAGGAGGTTGGAGTCTATGACCATCATAGTGGAAATCATGACAGTAGTCCGGTAGGCAGGCTTGGAGCTACAGCAATAGCTAAGCACTCACACAAGGCAGAGGGGGGTAACTAGGAATGGCACTAGTCTTCTGAAACCTACCCCCAGTGACACATGTTCTCCAAGACCACACCTCCTACTCCTTCCCAAACAGTTCAGCCCACTAGAGACCACGTACTCAAATATATGAGCTTAGGGTGGCCATTCTCATTCGGACACTGCAGATGGGTAGTTGGCAAGTGAGTGGAAGGATGGACGAGAGAGTTAAGTGGTCTCCCAGTCTGGTCCTCCGAGGGTGGAGCCATGCATCTGTATATTGCAGGGGGATCTGAGCCAAGATTGGGGGAAGAGAGTGGAGACAGTGAGCAGACGGATGAGGATGGAGACCTGGATGGAGAGGCCCAGGCCCAGCCTCTCAACAGCAAAGTAAGTCCTTCCCAGGCACCCACTCTCTGTCCCGGATCCCCACACCTTTCCAGCCCATTCTCAGGCCTCTCAACTGCCAGCCACTGCATACAGCAGGCACCCACCTTTCTCCCCTAGTCCCACCCCATTCCCTCAGCCCCCTCAGTGGCTCCTCATCCCTAGGCTGAGACTCCTTCCTCAGCCCCTCCCTCCTCCTGAGCCCCTCCCTCCTAAGCATGGGAGCCCAAGTGCTCACTTCAGAGCTCCAAAATTTCAAGGTACAGAGAGACAAATCCCTCTGTCAGGCCTGGCCTGACCGACTGGAGCTCTGGGGCACCCCGGTGCTGCAAGAGTGTGCAGGAGGATAGGCCTGTGTCCTCATAGCTCAGGGGCCCTGCATGGGAGCAGGTCTTGCACCTTTCAGATCATGGGACTTGTCTTTATATGTGGCCACTTCTCTTCTTGTTTATCTTTTCCTAAGTTATTTTTGGTGGTGGAGACAGGCCAGGCGGTGCCTTGGTTTGGGGATAGGATGACAGAGGTGAGTCAGAGAAGTGGGCTGGAGAGTGGCAGTTTGACCTTGAACCCTTTGAAGGTGACAGGGCTGTAGAATCAGATCTGAGAAATGCTCCAAGGATTCACCATTTGCTGATCTCACAGCATACAGCCTATCCAGTTTCTAGAACATTCTACAATAAAACATACATGAAAGGATCAGGGTAATCGTACTGAAGGGCCCATATATCTAAAAGTTGGAGTGCTCACCTTCCTCCACCCCATAGTCAGTGGGCTACATACCCTCGGGTCCCAGGATGCCTTCTGTGTGGCGTGCCTTTTAGTGCTACAGTAGCCCCGACCCTAGGAGTACCTGGCAGGCCAAGAACTCACTTCCCTTACAGGACAGCTAGGACCCTGGGGACAGTGTCACCTCTGATGGAATAGACACTGTGGGCTCCTGTGCCCCCTTTGACCTCAGGACTACTGTGGGTCAGCTTCTAGCTGGAGGCTGAGTGTGGGGCTGGGCTTTGACCAGTCTTCCTTATCTTACCCCGAGAAGAAGAAGCGCCTGCTCTCCTTCAGTGACATGGACTTTGAGGAAGACTCAGAGCAGTCTACACAGCCTTGCAGCCACACCCTGGGCCTGTCCTCTGTCCCAAAGTCCACATACAGCCTGCAGGTCAGTGCACTCTGGGATCTGCCCAACCCCTCCCCGATTCCTCTTACAGGCAAGTGCTTGGCCTCAGTTAGGGTTACACTTGGGGACACAGTATCCTATAGCCAGGTACAGACGATTGGAGACAGGATGTGGAAGAAAGGGATTCAGAAACTCCCATCCTCCCAAGGCCAGCATCTCAGGACACTGAGCAAACACTTGGAGAGGTCTGGCAGGTGAAAACTAAGGCCAGGCGGGTGAGTTGGGGGCCTGGGATGTGAGGATTGGTGCTTGGTCTGGACATAAGGACTTGGGAGAGCAGAATGAACAATGGCATTCACGAAGGAGCCAGACGAGACCTAGCACTGAGCTGTACCTGTGTCTTGCCAAGACATCATGCACTCTTGTTCAAACTAGGCTGAGTGAAAACTCCTGCTGTTACTGCACTCTGCTCATTAGCCATGTGACCTTGGACCTTCAAAGTTCTTGGCAACTTTATCGGCTCATTTTGGAAGAAGGCTGATAACTTCTGCCTTTCACGGTTGAGTTTGCATGAGACACACAGATGGGCAGTAAAAAATCAGTTGTTAGCACAAGGCCAGGCAGGTGCACTTTTGTTGTGAACTTTCCAGCAGCTCTTGGGGTAAGGCAGAGCTGGTCTAAGCTAGGTACTGTTGGGCCTTCTCACCCTCCCAATAGGAGAAGGCAAAGAGCAGGGCCACAGAAGCCAGCCCCTAAGGGACATCGGGCCATAGGCTCTGCTCCTCCAACTCCCCCTCCCCCAGAACCCATGCCACTCCACCATCCAAGGTCAAACCACGGAGATGCTGGGGTGGTGGCTTCCAGGAGCCCACAATACATAGATCCCTTGGGGACAGTGACACTATGAAGACCCCTCAACCTGGGGACAGACTGCTCAGGAAACCTCATCTCCACCCTTTGACCCTCTGACCATCAAGGACTGCTAAAGTAGACAAAGTAACCATGTCCTCTCTCCCAAGAAAAAAAGTAAAATCTTCACAGCAATGTTTTCATGGCTTCAGCCAAAGTGAGCCTGGGCCCCCGGCTACTCAGAAATACTTCTGTCTCCTGTATGATGCCTGGGCACAGTGTCCTGGGGAACTGTCACACTTCCCCAGTTTCATGTCACAAACATGAAACAGAAGGGTGGTAAATGCTCTTGGCACAGTGTTTGAAAACAGAGATGAAAAGCAAACACAGCCCGGGCAGATGGCTGTCTAGTGTTCAGTCAGCACCGTTGGAGCAGCCAAAGCTGATGCTCATGTGTTCAGTCCCTCTCAGGTGAACCCTGCTCTGAGGATACCACCTCCCTGGAGCCCGAGGGCCTGGAGGACACTGATGCAGGAGCTTTGGGGTGTCACTCTGGTCCAGAAGAGCAGCCATATAGCCCCTTGCCCTCCGGAGAGGATGCTCACACTGAGCTGGACCCACCCAGAACATCCTGCAAGCGGGCCCTAGGGACCACAGCTATGCCTGGTAGGTACTCTAGCCTGGGGGGTAAGAGTCCCTAGGAAGCCAGCCCCTCCCCCTAGTTTACATAGACAGACTGGCTAGTCCTTTCAGGGTAATGTCCTTCAGTAAACCTCATAGACCCTTTCCTTCCTGGGCTCCGTGCTTCCCTGTTATATCTAGAAATATCAAGAAAGAAGTTAAGCCATCTCCAGTCCATAGCCACTGGTATAGGGTAGGGACATGTCAACGTCGTCATAATGGCTACAGTCCCACCAAGTCCAAAGCTATACTTGAAGATTACAGATGGACCTGTAGCTACTCGTCAGGGGACAACAAGCAAGAGAAGGAAACCTGTTCCATTAGATTTTATCAGACAGTTTAGCCTTCCAAGTGGAATCCCCTCGGATGCCTCTTCCTGTGCCCAAGGATGCCGGGTTCAGCAGTTCGGACACAAATTAAATTAGAGTAAATGAGGTCACAGCAGCATGCTGCCTTCCACCACCACACGTGCAGCAGCTGCAGGGAAACCTATCTGTTCCTGCCTCCCTGTTGCTGGTCCTTAGAGACTATAACTGCATGTCCCTTGCAGCGATTGGGATCCTAGGGATAGAAGTGGGGTTCCACTTGTTCCCAAAACTATGAATGAAAAAAGCTGTCCAGTGGTAAAACTTTATATTCCTTTACATGACACATGATCCTGGAGCATGCGGAAGAGGCAAGCCAGGACCAGAAGACCCAGCAATGCCAAGCAAAGGCCCTTGTGTTTGGGGGGGTTCCAAGAATGGAACCCAGCCAGGCTGTACCTAAGATCAGGGACAGGGTGATATGGCAGGCCACCGGGCCATAGGCTTTCCTGCCACTCATTGTCCTTGCTAGGAAAAGCAGTGATTTCTACCTCACCCTGAAGTTGTAGGGACTAAATGAGACAGTCACATGTGCTGAAAAATGATCACCAAATTAGCAATGACAACTGTGATCTCACAAGGAGTCAGAGTATGGTCTGGGTTTGGGGCATCTTAGGCACAGGGTCTCCCGGGCTGTGTTCGAGGAGCTGCAGTGTTACTCAGGCAGTGTCTGGGCAGGATTCACAGTGCAGGGTGGGACCTGCTGAGCACCAGACACAGGCAAGGGTCTCGTGTGTCCCTGGGCTCTTGACCCTCTGTTCCACTCAAACCCTTCTTTCTCCAAAGGGACAGATGGTGTCAAAAGCAAACAGCTCCCCTCACAGTACCTGGCTGATGTGGATACCTCCGATGAAGACAGTCTCAAGGATCCCAGGGCAGCCTCCCAGCATTCCAAGAGGAGGGCCCGGGTTATGCCGGACACTCAGGTAATGGAGTTTGAGAGAATTCCGCCTCTGTGCTTCTCTGGATGGATCCCCCCGCCCCCCGCCTTTCACACCAAGTGAAATTTTTGAGAAATTGAAGCTTTCAGGACTTTGGGGCATGAAACTGCCTATATCATAGGGCTTTGTCAATATGCATGCTTTATTGAAGTGATTTGTATAACATTAAGTTGACTAAGTATTCCAGTTCCTCAAAATGTTAAAAGAAAAAAAGTGAGGGAGGAAGGGGAGGAGAGGGGGAGGAAGGAAGGAAGGAAGGAAGGAAGAAAACTGGCATGCACGGCAGCTAATCATATAACTTGAGAGACAGACATAGAAGGATCTCAAGTTCAAAGCCAGCCTAGGCTGCATATCCAGAGTCCATCTCTAAGAAGAAATTAAAAATATAGTTACCACCTGGCTCTTCTGTGACCACACAGAGTAGCAATTAATTTTGACCACATCGTCACCAAGATTGAAAGCAGGGTCTCCAAGAGACAGCCACATAATCTGTGTTGATTTAGCCACAAGAGACAGATTTCCATGTTCAAGCGAGGCTTAGAACACAATCGGCCTGCTGCTTCTGCAGGGGATGGTGACACTTGCTTTTCAAAACGGCTGTGCCCAAAGTTCTGAGCCTGAACAGGTCTTATTTCCTGAACACAGGAAATGGATAGAGGAGGGAATTCTGGCATGAGAGGCTGGGAGGAATCCCACCCCAGGCTGGAGATGGAACCCAGGACCCTAAGCGTGCTAGGTGAGCTATCTAACGCTGAGTCACACAGCCCCAGCCCTTGGATTTGTGAGACAGGCTCTCTTTGTAGCTCAGGCTGGTCTTGCCATTCTCCTGCCTCAGCCTCTCAAAGGCTGGGTTACAGTGTACCTGCCGCACACAGGCAAAATAGGGGACTCCAGCCCTCCTTGAAACCATGGTTCCTCGGGCTTGTCTACAAAGTACAGGTGGCTCCAGTCACCAGACAGACAAACAGGTGGCGTTGGCTGTGTTCCTTGTGTGTCTTACTGGTCTGGTGGTCCCCACTTTTCCATAGGGCCTAGCTGCAGCCAACCCTCACCCCCCCCCACCTCCCACACGCCCCCACCCTTGCCAAAAAGCCACACTGAGTCCTCTGAGCCAACTGCCCAATCTGTCATTTTGCTGGCTGCTGGCCTCTCCCAGGCTCTGCCTTCCTCTTTAGCCCCAGTGTACCATCATCCTTAGTGGCTTCTTTTCTTACTCACTCCATGTGGCCTCCACAATGACAGTATTGACACTGAGTGGCTTTTCCTCTTTCTAAGTCCCCACCTGTGCCTCCTGGGCCAGTAGACAAAGGCCATGTGCAGAACAGCCTACTGAGGATATCGATCATTGTCACCGCAACAAACACCAAATGGGCCAGGCCATATGAACCCGCAGTCAATGGCTGCCCACAGAGGGCATGCATAGGCAGAGGACTCACAGACACTTGCCTTGACATTTCCAGTGAGCGGTCTTCCTCCACTCCAAGTCCCCGGTGCTGGTGGTAATTACCCACCAACAATGGCAGCTTCCCGCCCCTGTACGTGTCATTTCCCTCTCCTAAGGCCAGGCGAGCGGAAAATGAGATAATGCGGGACGGAGAGGCTGCCTGCAAGGAAGCAAAGCAAAGAGGAATTGATTTTCCGGACTGTGTCTGGGAGCTAATAGAACAGCTGACTCAAGAGTCTGGTGACTCAAAGAATTAGGAAGCTGTGCTCTGGGTCACAAGCGACCCAGGGCTCTTGCTACCTAATGGCTTTGGTCACCGTGCCCAGCTTAATGCACGTCTTCCTGTGCTGACCAGCCAGGACAGTGGCAGGAGCTGCCCAGTGATGGACACGGTCGCCTCTTTCTACTGCCTTGGTGTCTGGTTGGGTTTCTCCTCTCTCCTACATGCTCACCCCACCCCATTCACCTCCTTTTGGGGTTCCGGTGCCCCTGCTGTCAGAAAGGCTTTGTTTCACACTTAACCTCCAGGGCCATGCCATAGCCGGACCTGGGGCTTCAGAGAAGGAAGACACCTGTGCTGTTGGGATACAGTGAGGCCCTCTGCTATAACCAGAACACTGCTCCTCTCCCCCTGCTACAGATCCTGGAGTTGAACAAGCGCATGTCAGCTGTGGAGAACCTGCTGGTCCACCTGGAGAATGTGGTACTGCCCACCTCAGCCCAGGTAACACCCTGAGCTATGCCAGATCAGCCCGCAGCCTTCCATTATGGAAGGTTAAAGTCCCAGCCCTGACTCAGGGGAAATGTGTCAGCATTCCAAAGATGGATAGACGATGTTCCCTACATAGCCCACCCACATGAAGCCATCTGTGGCCAATAACAAGATGATACAGTATGGGTAGGTATCACATAAACTGCTGTGAGATGAATCTTCATCCAGATGTAGACACCATGGATGCTGAAGCTGGACCGGCATCCCCAGCCTGCACTACCTCACTGAAGAATCTCATGACTCTCACAGCTCTTCCCCATCCCTACATCAAGGACAGACACTGATAAAAGCTCCGCTTCCCGCTAGCTGTGGTCTCATGATTCTTGGTAGTTCCTTGCCAGTGCCTTCATGATCCGACTTACTTGAAGTCATGATGCCGCTTACGGAACCTGTGGCTGAAGTACATCGTGCTGGAGAGTAGCTTCAGGCAGCAAAGAAATGTCCATTGCCTGGTGTCCAAAGCCAGCTTGAGACACTCATATGGGCTTTCTTGGATTTTTTTTTTACAAGCTGGAGCAAATAGATATTCTAGGTCCTTAAAAATCTCATCTAAGACAAAGAGACGGGCACCTGTGGAGGCTGCCTCCTCTGATCTGAACGCAAGACTTGTCTATGAAAGATGATGCCACAGAGTCACGACACTCTGCCACCTTCTCTTTCTTCTGTCAGCAACTTCATATTGGCCTGAGGGGGTTAGTTCCTGTTGCAAAAGTGACGTAATGCTATGGAGTGACACCTCCACCTCCCCTGGACTCACAAACCTGTAAAATATGAGGGTCCTTGTTGCTGTGGTAATCCAGGACAGACCCTGGAGCCCTATGGGAACACAGACTATCTGGGTAGTGCTGAGAGAACATGTTGTGAGACACCCCAGTCTCACAACGAGAGTGTGGTGAACCAGAGAGCCTCGTCCTCAGCCCCATGAGCCCCAGCCAAATGCCCAGGGCTGTAGTTCAGGTCCATGGACATAGGACCAGAGCCGGGAACAAATGGAAGGTCTTGTGGGCTCAGTGGATGTATGGAGTGGTAGAGGGAGGAGATGCCGTCCACTTATGAGGACCTCCCCCAAAGAAAGCTCCGTGTTTTGTTCAAACCCTGTGCTCTGATGGGTCATCCTTAAAAGATGCTCTGCCTCGTACCACAACATGGGTCAGCTTGGAGAACTTAGGCTGCCCAGTGGCAATTCAGGGAAATGAGCTGCCCCTAGAGAGCAGACCGTCTGATGCTGTTCAGATGAGGAGCCCAGCAAGGTCAGATTCAGGAAGACAGATAGACTGAGGAAGGATGGGGAGTGAGTTTTCAGTGGGGATGGAGTCTCAGTATAGCTACAGGGAAGGTTCTATGGGGAGAGGGCGGTGCTGGGTGCATGACGAAAATCTGAGCTGTAAGTCTTAAAACGGTGAGATGATACATCTTATATGCCTATTTTACCCAGGTGGACATTTGGGGGTGAGGAAGCAGGGCAAAGGATGGGTCTTGAATAGAAATGGGTGCTGGAGTCTTCTCAGGCTCGCTCACCTCCCTAATCTGCCTCTGAGCCCTTGCCCCAACCTGGCCCCATCAGGAACCAGCTGTGGAGTCACACCCCAGTGCAGACAAAGAGGAGGAAGCTCTCAGGAGGAGGCTGGAGGAGCTCACCAGCAACATCAGTGATCCTGGCACCTCATCAGAAGACGAGACCAAGCCAGGTGGCACCCTCCATGCGGTGTCCCCAGAGGTGAGGTCTCACAGTCCCAGGCAAAGGGCAGGGCAAGAAGGACAGCCCCAGGTGGCCGTCCAACCTTTCAGGGAGGGCAGCTAACTAGATACAGGCTTGGGGGGGGGGCTTGATGAGCGCACACAGGTGAAGAGGTTGGAGATCAGCCATGGGGACTCAACAGGGAGGCAGTGCTGTGCTTCATGGATGACCAATGTCACCCTTCTCGTCCCTAGGTGTGCACAGACACTGGGCACATGGAGACACAGGGAAGGAGCCCTCAGGGGCCTGGGAACCCTACTCGGACCACAAAGAGCACAGATGAGGTACTGTCAGAGATGGAGGACAGAGTGGCCATGACAGCCTCTGAAGTTCAGCAGTCTGAGAGCGAGGTAACCTCACACTCCCCTGGACGGAATCTCCCCAGAGATGACAATGTCCTGGTGATGGAACCCAGCCAGAGCTCTGAGATCCCAAGAGCCCACCTAAGGGCTTTCAGAAGCCTCTGTGGCAGCCAGGAATGGGCAGGGTGCAAGTTTAGGGGTTCTTCCCACCCCTCCACTTGCTGTTCAACCTGGGGAGTGCAGGTGACTGTTTCAGCTATGAAAAGGCACATCGGTCGCTATCTCCCATCCTATGAGCAGAGCCTAGACACAGGCTGAGGTGAGGATAGCAGGGCTCACAATGGGACTTGGCAGAGGACGTTCCTGGGCTGAGCAGTGATGGCAGAGCTGGGATTTGGGGGAAGAAATACATCAACAGTGAACGGGTCCAAGCCAAGGCAGCATGTACAGGCATTCCAGGAACAGCAGGGGACTGTAATGTCCTCCTCCTGCAGTCCAGTAAGAAAAGAGGTCTGCACCCAGGCTATGGGAAAGCCAGTGCCCTTACCCTCCGCAGCAAATAGTTGCCAGTGCCCAAGGAAAGGAAGGGCGAGTCAGGACCACTCTCATCCAAGGGGCGAGGCAGGCCCAAGCCTTTTCTTCAAGGGTTCCCCTTCTAAAATGTGACTGAAATGAGTAGATCACAAAGGGGACAGCTGTGAAGATCTGAGCCCAAGTGCCCCTGTGGCACTTAGATTCTTTGTCAGAGACACATGAGAAAAAATGAAAACAAATCAAATCATTACATCATGAAATAGTTATGCGGACAATATGGAGGTTTGTCCCAGAGTGCCCAGGAAGAGATGCTTAGAGAAGCTGGTAGGGGACCCTAAAGAGAATCAAGGACAGTGGTTCTCAACCTGCAGGTCACAACCCCTTGGGGGTCACATATCAGATATCCTGCATACCAGATATTTGCCTTATGATTCATAACAGTAGCAAAATTACAGTTATGAAGTATCAATGAATGTTATGGTTGGGGGTCAGCACAGCATGAGGAACTGTATTAGAGGGTTGCAGCATCAGGAAGGTTGAGAGCCGCTGCTACTCTAGGGGATTGGAGTCCAGGCAGAGAGAGCAGAGCACGCAAAGGTGCTGGGGTGAGGTCAAGCTTACTAAGCTCATGGACCGGCTGTGAAACCCCAAGACCCAAACACAGTGATGGGGAGGTTGACGAGGATGGTGGATGGAGAGCCCTGGGGACCATAGAGGTAAACTGAGGGAAGTGACTGGTGGTGTGGTTCAGTGGTGCAACCCATGCTCAGCATGTGCGAGGCCCGGAGTCCAATTCCTAAACCCACTATATGAAGAACCGCAGGAGGAGGAAGCTAACTTGGCTTCTGCATTTAGATGCTTCCTCTGGCTGCTGTGGGGAGGGCCACCAAAGACCTGAGAACAGGAAAAGGGTGGCTCCGGTGGTGGCAGAAGGGAGTGGCCAGGTCAGGCTTGATCAGGTCAGATTAGTCCAAGCTGATCCCGGCCACCCCCATCACCCCACCATTCCCACCCCAACACACACAACATCCTACTAGTGAGTGGGAGCCAATCTTCCAGATGTGCACAGCCTTCCAGATGTGCCTCCAGAAAGTGCACAGCACCCAGAGACACCCTTCAAGACTCTTAGGACCAGGGAGGAAGAGAGAAAAGATCCCAGGACCAGGCTATGGTTGGGATTCTGACCTTTTATGATCTGAGATGGGTCGCTGAGTGACATCTGTCTGCCCCCCTCTTTTCTAGGTCTCAGACATCGAGTCCAGGATTGCAGCCCTGAGGGCAGCAGGGCTCACAGTGAAACCCTCAGGAAAACCTCGGAGAAAGTCAAACATCCCAGTGAGTTAGGTAGAGGTGTGGAACACACCCTCCCCACGCAGGACTTCCTCAGTAGCCCACAGGGTCCGCCTAAGACCTTCCGGTAACCCATGAAGTAAAAGCCCTGATTTTCTCGAGGCTGCCAATCATGTTTCCCATAGCCAGTTGGTGAGCTGGACCCGCACAGGAGCTTTTTTATTACTTTTTTATTACTTTGAAGTTGAAAAGAGCTCCTTATAGGCGGGAAAGCCGGGAGATCCACAAAGTGCCTGACACAAGCATGTCGGCCTGAGTTCAATCCCCAGAATTTATAAATACATGGGGGGGGGTATGTCAGGCATGACATGCTGGTGCACACTTGTAATCCCAGGGCTGGGGACACATCGACAGGAAGACCCCTGGGACTTGTTGACAAGCCACCCAAGTCTACTTGGTGAGCTATGGGGCAGTGAGACCCTACCTCAATAAAACAAGAATACTGGTGGAGAGCATCTGAGGAGTGACAGCCAAGGTTGTTCTCTGGCCTACACATCAGTACCAGTTCAGCCATTCATACACAAAAACCCCCAAGTGGAGTCCCAGCCCCTAGGTGGTCAAGCCTCACCTGGTGACAGAGGACTTGATTAAATGCCAGTTGGAGGTAGGCATGGCTAGAGTAACTGAAGGAAAGGCTCCCGCCACTGGACCTGCCCTTGAAGTGGTGATCAGAACCAAGCATCCTCCCCCAAGCCCAGTCATGAGTTTCAAATAGAGAGAGCCATGCCTGGGGTATTAGGGTAGAAAAAGGAAAAATGACCTACAGCACCCCTGGATAGGGGTAGTGATGAAATCCTTACCACCCAGTCACCATGGCATTTCAGATCAATAAGTAGTGACTTTCATATGTACACATCCCCCGTGGGACCTCAAGTCCACACTATAGCAAGAAACTGCCTGATGGTATCTAAAATGGAAGGCTAACTGGAAAGTGTATTTTAATTTGGTGAGTCCACAGCTTTGTTTTATCATTTCCCCTTCGTCACGGCTCCAAATTACTGGCACCCGGCATGGCCTGGGGGAGCTCTGTTCCCCCAGACAATGGCTTTATGCTGCCACCAAAGGTAGTTCTGACTAAATCTCTCTCATTCTAATAAAACTGGAGTTTCAAAGGCTAGGCTGAAAACCAGAAAGCTCAGAGAGTTACAGCAGCAACTGGCTACCTTTCTCTCGTTGCTGGCGTCCTGAAACCACTCCTTCCCGCTCCACCACCAATTAAAACAACCATGTTAAGCACCTCCCTGCTACTTCCTGTCATTCAGTTGCAAACTCCGCCTCTCTGCGCCCAGGTTAGTTTTATTTAATTAAGGCAAATGCAACACCTCTTTACATACTGAACAATGCAGCATGAACAAACGTAACAAGTATCCCACAACTCGGTCTAGAACCCCAGGTGGTAATGGGGGAGGGTGTAGCCTCACGCTCTGCCCCAGTGTTCTTGACCAATACCTACAGAGACCACTGTCCTGCTTTGTGCCAGCCTTGCTTGACTCCCATTCTGTGTGTCATGGTCCAACTAGATGATAATGACACATATTTCTTCCTCCATTTCCAGATCTTTCTTCCCCGGGTTACTGAGAAACTTGACAGGGTCCCAAAGGACCCCTCTGCAGACCCTGAGGACCAAGCCCAGGTTCCTGAGGTACTCTCAACCACAGCCTTCCAAGGCAGCTTCCTTAGAGGAGCAAGTGCTGGGGGAGGGGGGGGAGATGGGCGGAGAGTGACCCAACAGCTCAGCAATACCTGAAGGGGCCATAGACCGCAGGGCGGCGGGGTGGGGGGACTAGGGTAGCGTCTGATGGGGAAATCCCAGAAATCCCAGCAAGATGCAGAGATGGGGACACAGGGGGAAGGAGCTTCTGTCAAGCATACCTAGGCTCCCTGGCTCAGTTCTTTAGGCAGCTCTGGGGTGAGGGATGTCAGACCCCACTTATCCTACTCGGGGGCTGGAGGTTTTATCCCTCTGTTCTTATCAGTCTTGGGTAAGGGTCTTGCCAGAGCCACATGTGTTTCCAAATACATCTGCCACCCAGCTCTGACATAGCAGCCTGTCACAGTGTCTGGTTATTGGGAGTGAAAACACTTAGGAGCCACTGTATGAGGAAATGGCCCAAGGATAAGAGCAGCATGGGGAAAATACTCTGATGGGGTGAGTGAAGGAGATGCCTGGGAGGAGAAAGTTCCATGTGCCTAGGGGATATAAGGAACAAGATTGGGGTGCTGTCTCCAAGCCTGCTCCAGGCCCTGCCCACCCTGGCCCAGGTACCCTCTGAGTAGCATAGGGCAAGTTCAGCCACTTGTCAGCTTATCAGTTCCAAGTGCTGTTGGCTTCTGTCCACTCTTTACCTGAGTTGCAGAACCTGGTTGGATAGGCAATGATACCTTGTGATATTGGCACATGAACCCCACTCAGGGAGGTGGGTGCCTGGCCAAGCTCAAATGTGTGGGGATGACTGGGCCCCGGGTCCTGACATCCATGGGATTCCTATGAGTCCCAAGAAGCCCAGCCAACAGGCTCCAAGCTCTGCCTCTGGGACCGACTACTTAGACACACTGAAGCTTCCTGAGCCTGGGGAACGTTTCTGTGGCAATTGGGCCATTTGCTCCCTCTGCTCCTGAAAATGTCAGACAGAGAATGGATTTCTTAGCATGTTTAGAGAGCTGGTCTCGTGGAAAGGAGGGAGGGGGGACCAACAGCCATGGGGAGCTGTGAGTTGATGTGTTACAGAGGAAGGTCATGGTGTCCACAGAAGATGAGTTCTACCATACAGTAGTAGGTAACAGCACTGCCATTCGAACCCAGGTCCCTGTACTCTTCCCAACCCACCACCCAAAGCGGGCAGTTCCCTGGCTTCTCTCCCACATAGGCACTAGTGCATGATTTAAAGATGCTATGCATTATTCCCACATTAAGACTCAGAATATTTGTCAGAGAACAGAAAACAGGCGACCTTGGTAATTCAAACCAAGTCCAAAATTAGTTCGAATTACACTTCAGGAACGCCCAGGGATGTTCTCTTCCTCCTAGGCGACGGCCGTGCCCTATCTCCTGAGGAGGAAGTATTCCCCCAGCAGTCAAGGTAAAGCCATCTACTCCTCTTCCTGTTTCGTTGCTACTGAGAAATGAGCTCAGGGAAGGAACACAGCCAGCCAGCTCCCTAATCTATGGGACCCACCCTAGGCCCTGTCTCAGCAGAACACCCAAAAAGACCCCCGTGACACCCCAGGGCCATGTGTAGTGTTCTGGGTGGATGTAAGCTAGTACAAGCAATGCTGGTAGTACCGGTGTTTCCATGGTTTCAGTATAAACAGTTCCTACGGGAAACACAGAGTATGAGGCAGTTAGAAGGCCTGGTCTCCTGATGATGACATCAGCTTTGTCCCGGGCACATGGAAGTGTACCAGTTACTTCTATCACTGTGAAAACTCTTATTGAGAAACTCAAGGGGGTGCTGGGTTATTCTGGCTTGCGGTTTCAGAGGGTTGAGTCTGTGCCTCCCCCATGCACTGGGCTAGCACACTGGGGTGGTGGGAGTGTATGGCAAAGGAGGGTCCTTTCCTCCTGCCAGATGGGAAGCAGAGCCCAGGAAGAGACTCCTCTTTGCATCCACTGAGGGTCCCAGCACATATCCAGTTCACCCGAAGATCATTGCTGGTACCCCAGGCCCTCAGCGTCAGGGTTAACATAGAGAGCGGATGATGAGGAGCTGCTGTTAAAGTTTTGGGGCTTCTGGGACACCATGGTTTAATCTTAAAGGACAGCTTCTGCCAACTTCCAAACACAGGAGTGTGTGCAACAAGGAGACAGAGGTGTACCCCAAATCCTCTTTGTGACAGACTGAATCCCACCAAGAGGCTGCTCACACTCAGCCCAAGGCCAGAGCATCCCACTGCCAGGCCAATCCCGGCCCTGAGTGTCCCTTTCAGGTTCTTTCCTACCACCATCTCAGTGCTAGCATGTGGCTAAGGTGGCTCGTCACTGGGTCTTTCAGGGCCAGCATGATACCATGGCAGAGCCTCAGGGCTCAATCCCTGGGTCTGCACAGGCCTCTCTGCTCCATGCTGTGATCCAGGGAACAGCTCTGTCAGGAACTTAATCCCAGAGATGAAATGTGTGTTTAGAATGCACCCTCGTGGGAATGGAATGACATCACAGCTGTGCGGCTATACATCAGCTCTCAAAAACAGATGAAAGAAGAGGAGAAAGCAGGGGGGAAGGGAGGGAAGGGAGGGTAGAAGGAGGGAGGGAGAGAAGGGAAGGGAGGGGAGGGGAGGGGAGGGGGAGAAGGGAAGGGAAGTGAATAGGGCACAGGCCTGATGTGTATAGCCCATCACTGAATGGGTCTAGAGAGACCATCAGGACTCTGGAGCACTGTGAGCCAATCCCGCTTCCCTCAGTCAAGAAACTGCCACCTGAGCCCTACAGGTGTCAGTTTTCATCCAAACCCCTCACCTAAACACGAACAGTGGGTTAAGGCTGGAGGCCAAGGCCCTCAGCTCTGCAGCCACAGGCCTAAAAGATTTCTGCTCCAAGGATCGGAGTCCCAGAACCACTCAGGTCCCCTGCCCTGTCACAAAATTACACTGTAGAAGGTACGTGTGCCCCTGACACAAGTATCCTAAGTCCCCTGTTATTCTTCCAGGGCCACAGAGAAAAGGGACACAAACTCCAATTCCAGGCCAGCAACCTAAAAGCTTTGTCCCTGCCCCCTTTCTCAGGGGACACCCCTGCCCCATCGCTTTCCCGCTGGCCCTGCCTCCCGGTCACTGGCCCCACCCTTTTCCTAGTAGCCCTGTATCCTTTCTTGGTAGCCCTGCCTCTTAAAAGAGGTAGAAGCATTCTGGACTGGTAACCACACAGCCACTGAGTACTCCTTGCAAAGTGTGTCACAGGGTGAAACCATCTCAACAGAGGATGGTGCTGTCCAGTGTCTGAGGTAGATAAGAACTCCTTTGGATTCTTTGGATGATTAAGCGCCTCCCCTCTATTTTCCCAAAGGCATAGAAGGTGGTTCTTTTGATCGGAAATCAGTGTACCGTGGTTCATTGACACAGAGGAACCCTAACGGGAAGAGAGGGACAGCCAGACACATCTTTGCGGTAATGTCTCTTCTCTCCACGTCATCTGTCAGCTTTATGTTTTTACTCTTAGTGGAGAGCAAAAGAGAGGTGGGAGGCAGGAGTAACCATCAATCTGCAATGGGAGAACTGAAAACATTTCTTTAAAGTACCTGAGGATAGCAAGGAGGAAAGAATGGCAGAATCACTAAGCACCCAGTTGCCAAAGGGCAGGCTCAGATCTGGAAAGGAACCGATCCAGAAGCTATAAGGCTGCTCTCCAGGGAGCGCTCAGGCCAGGCAGGGCTGCTGGATACAGAGGGTAGACCCTGAAAATCCTCATTTGACTCCTGAGGCCCTCAGTTCATCAACGAGCATTGGACACAAGGACAACTGAACTGTCTTAGGCCACTGTATTGAATCAGGAGCATGACACTGTGGCCTGTCAGACGACTAGATTGTGGCCCTCATCTTAGAGACATTCATGGTGACGGTGACAAGTGCCCTTAATCAAGGCCTAAACACACTTTGTGTTAGTTCAATGTTCATTACTGTAATGAAATAACACTAGGCAGGCAGGCTACTTATAGAGAAAATAGGCTTACCTGACTCACGGTTCTATCGAGTTCAAGGACATAATGCCAGCATCACCCCTTAGCAGAGGCTTGTAATGGTGGGAGCCTCTGTGAGAAGAGATCATTTCAGCAGGCAGGAGAGTAAGGACCATTCAGGAGTCACAGGAGCCAGATGAAGACTTTAAAAAGTGTATCTGTGTAAGGGTGTGTGTCTGTGTGGTATGTGACAGTATGTGCCATGTGTGTGGGCACCATCAGAAAGGCCATTGGATTCCCTGGAGCTGGGGTGGTGAGCCACCTGGATGTGGGTGCTGAGAGCCAAACTCAGGTCCTCTGGAAGAGCAGGAAACACTCTTAACCATTGAGCCATCTCCCCATCCCCCATGCTTTAGTGAGAACTCACTGGGCCCCAAGAGAATGTCTTTAATCCTTCCCAAAGGCCCCCAGTGACCTACAGAGCTCCCGCTAAGCCCTGCCTATCAAAGTCCAGTACCATACTGGTACCAAGCCTCCAATATATGTGAACCTCAAAATATGCCAACCCTTGTCCCCCATATCTCTCCCTACCTCTGTTTTACCCACACTGTCCAATGTTTACCTCAGCTTACTTCTAGTTTCAAGGGTGAGAAGAGACCTTCCTGGCTCAATTCTTCAAGCTTTGTCCAAGAAGACTGAGCTCCAAATTTACTATTTTCTTAAAAAGTTGCCTTGGGCTGGAGGTGTAGTTTGGTGGCAGGCTGTCTGCTCAGCATGCACAAGGCCTGGAGTTGGTCACCCATGCCACAGGGAAAGCAGTAGTTCTCTTGGGATGGTCTAAGTATTTATTTAAAATGTACGTCTGGGTCTACCTGCTATCTAGGCTAAATATTAACGCTGGCTGGGAAAGGGTATTTCAAATCATAGCATCAATGTGGCCTAAGACATTGTCCTCTACATGTGGCTCCCCACAACAGCCTTCTGCACAGGACATAAGTCATGTCCATAGTTCATGACAACACTGTCTCTCTGTGCCTTGGATCCCAAATGGAACCTCCTCCAAGGACAAGTCCCCATGGACCATTCAGCTCTTTGCTGTCTCTTAGAATTTAATGTGTGCTCAGCAGGCAAGTCTTAACTGAAATCTACACCCCGCACCGACCCTAATCAAGTTTATGTAGGCCTCACATGATGGGAGGGGTGCAGCCCTCAAGCCCCCAGCTAGCCCTTCTGCCACTAAGCAGGTGCTTTGGCCTGGAGGCCTGAGCCCTTGCCAGGAGAAGCGATCTCTGTCCTGGGAACTTCTGCTCACACTGTCTCCTGTGTTCTCTGAAATCATGTACAGGATGGGACTGAGTAAGATAATCCAGGGCATCTATTAATTCTCTTCTCCATCTCTGGTAGAGCTGCAGCCCGGGGAAGAATCCACAGTGAGTGGAGGCCGCTGCCAGTCAGGCTTGTGGCCAGGCTCTAGAGAGAGCTTCCACATAGGAGCTCAAAGAACCCACCATATCCTGTAAACTCATCTTCCTCGAGAGACAGAATGGAGCTGGTACCCCAATCCATCCTCTCGGTGTATAGGCCCTACTGGGGGACCCACAAGAATCATGGCCTCTCATGGTCATGAAATCCATGTTTAAAGGCTAGAGTGTCACAAGGTAGAGATGCAGAAACAGGAAGACATCCATGAGGTTGGGGACCTCGCCTTTGATGGAGTCTGCATGGCCATGGCAGCGAGTCTTAGGGCAGGGATGCCCTACACTCCACACTGAGGCTGGGAATGACACTGCCTGACCCTCGTAGCTAGAGGTGGTCATCCCTCAAGAGGAAATGAAAACAATAAAGGGCATGCCTGCCAATTAAATCCTAACCATCTGTAGGCCTTCAAATCAAGCTCCCTGCCTTTGAAAACTCTGGGTTTTCAAATATGTTCCATGTGAATGAGAAAACAGAGTTATAGAGAAGTTAAGCAAAAACAAAATTTAAAAAAAAAAAAACAAGAACCAAGGCAGTCAGGCATGGAGGTGGACTCCTTTAATCCCAGCACTCGGGAGGCAGAGGCAGGCAGATCTCTGTGAGCTCGAGGCCAGCCCGATCTACATGGTGAGTTCCAGGACAGCCATAGAGAGACCCTATCACAAAAGACCAAAAAAAAAAAATCAGACAATGAATAGACTAAGGCTAGTACAAAGCAAACACAAGAAACTAAGTAGTGTGTGCACATGTGAACACACAGAACCAGGGGCTTGCCTGTGTACCTGTGTACTGTGTGTATATTCACATACCTGCGATTGTCTATATGTATTCACACCTACATGTGTTTTTTCTCATATATACTCATGTCTATGTCTATGTGTGTAACCATGTGCCATGTTTATGCTGGCATGTACTCTGTGCATGCTCACATGGGTGTCAGTGTACATGCCTGTGTGTATGTCTGTTGCACAGAACATGTCTCTATGTGCATCTGCTGGTGTATGTACCTGTGCATGCCAACATGTGTGCATGCATGTATACATACATATATCTAAGTCTGTGTCTGTACTACCCCCGCCATGTGAACACCTGTATATGTGTGTTTCTCTATTACATCCCTATCTGTCACATAATCATGAGTATATATTTTACATCTGCATGTACACTTTGCACATGAACCCAAGTGCACACCGAAATGAATGTGTGTTTGTGCTCTGCAGAAACCTGTGATGTCTCAGCAGCCCTGAAAGAGGAGGTTCGCATCCCACATTGTCTCCTCCCACACTGGCTTCTTCTCACAGCTGCTTGTAGTCACCATCCCAGTGAGAAATAAGAACTTCCTGTGTGGATCCACTTGTGAGATGGCAGTTTCTCGGGCTTCTGACTGTCACCGGGCCACTGACCAGAGCCAGGGCACCTACCAGCCTCTGACCCTGCAGATACAAACAGATGTGATTTTCCCCTCAGATGATGCTCTCTATCTGAGGGACACCCAGATACCCTTTCATGGTGATCCTTAAACCCTGGTTCTTGGCTTTGTTGGGTCACATTCAAAGACGGAATGGAAAGAGATGGTTCAGCAGGGGCCCTGAGCATGTTCATGTTCCTGGCTGAGAGGGAGAGAGGCAGAAAGATGCAAGAGTGTCTTTGGGTATGATGGGAGAGTGTGCACTTTAGACAATGAAGAAGGAGGGCTAGATTCCTCACCCACCCCACAGACCTTGTTCTTCAAGTTTCCTGTGTGTCACAGACAGGAGCCATAACACTGATGTCCCCACCCCAGAATTCCACCCCCATGACCACCAACTATAGTGCCACAATTGAGGCCAAGCTCTAACGCAGGCTTTTGGGGTGCACTACATAGGGGACCTTACTCTCCTAGACACATCATGCTTTAAACACAGGTTTCTAGCTCACACACATGGCAGCTTTAGAGTTTATCAAGAATTCAGGTTTTCCAAAGCCGAGTGCATCAGAGCCAGTCTTACTCCTGACGGCGTAATCAGCTCTCCACAGCCAATCCCACCACCAGTGGGAGGGTGTCTCCTACTCCCGAGGCTACCTCTTTCCCACCAGCTTGTGTCATGTTCCAGAAGTCCAGAGAACACACAGGCCAAAGCCACAAACATCCTAGTGTACTCTGAGAATGAACTCCAGGAAGAAACCTCTCACTCGCTCAGAAACCCACGACTCAGGAGTCCCACGTTTGTTTCCGATGTCCTTCTAGCAAAGTACTGCAAAATAAGCCAATGACAACCACAGAAGTGTGTCCTCCTGAGTTTCAGAGGACAGGAAGTCCAATCAAGGTATCTGGGAATTGGCAGTGCTAAGGGGTAGGTGTCTCTTCCTTCTTCTGGGATTACAGCCATCCCAGTACACCTTGACTGTCCCCATCTCCTCCTTCATGTCCCCTTGCCTTGTATGATTCTGAACAGCTGTCTTCTTGTCAGGACACCATCTGTTGCATGTAGGGCCCCCTTTACCGCGTATGGTCGCCTCAGTCAATACACGTGCAGAGACCGTATTTCCGTAGATGGCTGTTCACTGACGTTCTAGATGGGTGTGAACTGGGGAGACACTGTCTGGCCCACTACAGGGCATGAGAGTTCAAAGACCTCAAAACCCCAAACAGCGGGGCCCTCATCGCTCTGACGAAAGCCAGGGGAAGCCTAAGAGGTGGGGCATCGGCCGAGGAGTTCTGTTCAAACGGGGAGGGAGGGAGTCCCTTTACTGCAAGGAGCAGAAATCCATGTACAACTGTGGGGAAAGGAACAGTTTTCTCCTGCAGCCCAGGGACACAAGCAGTCCAGTTCAGGGAGCAGGAGGGCGGGACACACCCTCACAAACTCCGCCTCTCCCCACACCCCTGCTCTCCATTTGTCTGTCAACTGTTCAGAATTCCGGCCAACACCCTATGGTCTCTTTGGATACAGCTCTGTGATTCCTCCAGTCTGACAGCCACAGCTCAGCTCACCATCCCACGGGGCAGTCACTTAGGGCCATGTACATCCTCGGTGCTGGCCACCTAGAGCAGGCCTGTACCAGACGAGAGATCCCTCTGTTGTGCCCAAAGCTGGTTTAAGAGTCCTTGCTTGGTTCTCCTGTCTGGGGTCCATGGCCCATTGCTAAGATGTAGGGAAAGATCCCTGATCCCTCTCTGTGGTCAAACCTCCATGCAACCCACTCCTCGGCTCTGAGGTACCCAGGCCAGGTTTGCAGCTGGGGTTCTGTGGGATGCTACAAGAGCAGCACAAGCCACACCTCACCTGCACTTTGCCACCTGCCTTTTGAACATCTCCAGGCACCCAAAGCACCCCTCAATTCTGCAGACCCTTTGCCTGGCACCATCAAGTATGGGATGAGGAGACTGGGCTGGGACCATGATCCTTGAGCTGCTTCCTACCCTGCCTGCTGCCTTCCATTTGGACTCTCAAAGGCACAATATGTCCCTACTACACTTTGATAAAGCTGCTTTGCTAAAAAGGACCCATGATCCTAGACACACGCGCACACGCACGCACACACACACACACACACACACACACACACACAGAGAGAGAGAGAGAGAGAGAGAGATAGAGAGAGAGAGAGAGAGAGCCAGACCCACAGAGATGTTCAGGACACTCACTCCCACTCCTAAGGTCTCACGGGAGTCCTCTTGGGCTCTAGCACTGAGCACACATCCAGGGAAATCTCCTCCAAGATGAGAACATGTCCCACCATGGCTGTTCTTACCAAGGTAGGAGGCCAGGCTATCACCATTGCTAATGCCTGAGCTATCTGCAGATGGACCTAAGGCACCAAGCAAACATTTAAAGCTCTCTGTGGCCCTAATCTACAGTAGTCTATGCCATCCTCCTTCTAGAGTTTCTTATCACACCCACCTCCTACCAGATCTCCCAAGGAGCCCACCAGCCAGAGCCCTGCTCCAAGGAAGAGAGAGCCATGCCTCGAGAACATAGACCTATTGACTAAGCCTCCAAAGGGTGAAGTGGTACCCTGATGTTTTTCCTGCAAGTCTGATGGTAGCCAGGAAACGATGACCCGGGGGAGTCCACCTGCTTTGTCTCTTCACATGCACTGTTCCTTCAAGAATATTCTATTATACTTAAAGGATATTTCATATAATCTGTAACTCTTGGTGTGGTGGTGACGGGTCCAAGTTAAATGACAGAATCTTACGGAGTCATTTTCAACGGCATAGACCTACATGTATTTTAACAATGCCAGGATGCGATGGTAGGAAGAATGAGGTTCAGTACCCGTAAGCAGGATGAGTGTACCCATAAGGCTCAGCGACCTCACCGGAAGGCGACACCGGAAGTGAAAGCATTGGCCTTTTCACGTTATCTGGGCTCTTCTCTATGTTTAAGTGCACTAATTTTCTTTCTTGTTGCTTGTAAATTACTTTTACTTTTTAGAAGGGTTTTTATTTTTTGTATGAGTGGGATTGGGGTGTGTACACATTTATGTGGGGACCAGAGATTAAATCTTCCTCAAGCATTTGTCTGCTTTCTTTTTTGTTGTTGTTGTTTGTTTGTTTGCTTTGATTTTTGTTTTGGTTTGTTTTTTTGAGTCACTGAACCTGGAAGTTATCAGTTTGGCTAAGCTTTCGGGCTCTTCCTTTCCAGCCCTGTCAACCTCAGCTTTGAGATTACAGATAAAGCACTGCTGCTTAGCACCTTTAAACTTTCTTATCATAGAAGTAGCCTTCTCTGTTTTGTTTTCACTTTTTGTTTTGTTTTGTTTTATCTAGACAGGCTAGTCTTGAACTCAGAGCAATCCTGCTTCACTTTCCTGAGTACTGGGATCACAGTTGTATACCACAACACCAAACTTCTGTTTGTTTTATAAAATAAAATAAAATAAACTTGGTGTGTCCTAAGTCATGGACTCAGGATGGAATAGAGAAATTTGTAGATAAGCTAGCTGAGGGGACAGCTGGAGTAGTAGGCGCCCACCTGGGTGTGAGGGACTTCTTGGCCACCATTTCAGGAAGCCATGGCTCAGGTGAGGCAGGAAAGGAGGAGAAGAACATTCAGTTTGATGGCCGCCTCCCATTGAGAGGGTGGGTGGACACGTAAGTGTGGAGTCTGCCCAAAGGCGAGCGTGAAGAGGGGAGGTTAATGTGTTTTAAAGCCACTTGGCCCAAATGAAATTATATAATTCAGGAAGGAACAAATCACACTGCTGATGAGAGTTTTAAAAAAAAAAGGTAAAAAGGAAGAAAATCAAAACGACAGAGTGTCTTGATGAGGGAGGAGTCGCAGTTGGGGACTGCAGGCTATAAGCAAAGACGACATCTCAAGGAGGGGACAGGGGGGCATCCATTGCCTCCTGTGTTGCTTTATAAAAGGTGAGCAGTCAGGCGGGCCTCACCTCACACCCAGGCAGCCTTGTTGCCACACTCAAGGGAGAGCGGGTGAGTAGCTCGGCAATGCTAGAGGGGTGGGTGTTGCTGTGTCTACCAGCAACTCTGCAAGGCTTTGTCCTGTCTGGCTTACTGGGAAGCCAGGTGTGGGCACCGAGCAGAGACAGCTACCCATAGTCTGTGGCCCAGGATCACACACCCTCCTGGGGACTCTGACACTCAAGGTCTATCCACAGTGGAGGGCAGGTGAAGGTGTCCCTCAGTGGGACACTTCCCACCTTCTCAAGCAGAGCCCAGAGGGCACAGTGGACAGACAGGTCTGCAGTGCTCCAGAGATTGGGTTGCTGGGACTCAGGAACCAGGGTCAACTAGCATTGTGGGCATCCATCACCTAGCCTGAGTGGATGAAGCCTTTATAATGATTCCTAATGGTACCGCCATTTCCTCTAGTTGGGGCTCCCCTGCTCTGTGTGGGACACCCCAGCAGTGCTGTGAAGAGGAGGGAGTGGGCATTTTAAACTCGGATGGATGGCTCTTTTTTATACGGTCAAGGAAAGGCTGGAAAGTCAAGGTCAGCTAAAGGGTCTTCAGATGAAGCCTGGAGCATCTTCTAATGGAATCTGAAATTCTGGGGTGGGGACAGGAGGTGTACTCCCGCAGAATACCCCTTCCCATACACAGCAGTGGCCCTCTCCTCTGTCACTCAAAAGGGCTCTGTGAGGAGAGGCAGGCACCACAGGCTCAGTCTGGAGTCTCAGCAAGCTAGGTCTGAAGTCCTGGGTTATTGTGGGGGCTGTGGGGTGTGCACTCACTAGGTTTGAAGGATGCTAAGTGTCCTCCATTGCCTGCCTGGCTTTCAGTGTCAGGAGATCCTGGGACATGTGTGGAGAAGGACCAGGCAATGAGGTCCCAACCCCTAACTACCTCTGAGATTGAGCAAATTGTTCCCCACCTCTGTTGCCCCCCAGACCTTCATATAAACCTGCTCCCCACCAAGATCTGGGTGCCTGCCTCCTGGCTCATCACACAGATGGACAGACAGGTGTAAGGAGTAAGGTTTTTCCGCCCACTGCTGGTTTTGTCCCGCCGCCGGGCCAGCCTCAATTAATACACCGAGACTCTGTATTTGATACAATGCTGTTGGCCAGGTACTTGTTTCTTATCGGTTAGCTCTGTCTTAAGTATTAACCCATTTCTATGTATTTCCATGTAGTCTCCTTACTGGGGAGTGGGGCAGGCGTCTGGTCTCCCCCCCACCTCCTGGTCTCTCCATGCTGACTCCTCCTTACCCTTCCTCTTTTCTCCTTCTCTCCTAGTCCCTCCTATCTTGCTTTCCTATTGGCCAACAGTGCTTTATTTATTAACCAGTATGAGAAACATATATACAGAATGACATCTCCCATCAGACAGGCCCAAGAATGCCCCAAGACAGCTGCCTGGGCAAACTCACACACCTCTCCTGAGAAGTGTAGCTATGTACACCAAACACATACACTTGTGTGCCTCACAAGCACATACATGTACCAAACACAAACAACCTAGGGTCTCAGCTTTGTACATACAACTTACTCTTACATGTCTACCCCCAGGCTATACCGTCTCCCGTGAGATCCCTTCTCCAGGGCATCATCGAGGAAGCCAGAAGCATGGCAAGTCTGAGAGCGTGGCTCGTGTGCTTGCTGCTGTTAGCCTCGGTCCTCCCAGGAGCTTCCAGCCGAGCCCACCAGCACTCCATGGAGACACGAAGTAGGTGCCTGGCTTATGGTGGGCAGCCTCACTTGACCTCCCCTCTGTAACCCCCCCAGATGCCTTGAGTGACCAGCACCTGAATGGAGCTCAGCCATCTCCTAAGCCAAAGCTACCTTGCCATGCATGCAGTCTGGAGGTTGACCTCTTGGTAATAAGATCCTGTTGAATGGGCCTCTTCCCAGAATGGTCCTGTCCCCCTGTCCTCACCATGCCCCTAGCCATCTTGTCTGGATCCCTTAAGAACTTGGCAGGGGGGCTGTGGAGGTGGGACAGGAAGGGAATATCGCTCCTGGTATAGATCCAAATTAATTTTCCAAAGCCACACCACTGCCCAGATATGCTCTGGCCAGTCTCATCATGTTGGGTGCCAACATGGCCCATTGCCCAGGTTTCCATCAGCTTAGGGACTCTGTGTGTGTGCCATGCATCCCATAATGCTGCTATGGCTCTCCCCTTTCCAGCCCCTGACATCAATCCAGCCTGGTACACAGGCCGTGGGATCAGGCCTGTGGGCCGCTTCGGCAGGAGGAGGGTAGCCCCGAGGGATGTCACTGTACCTGGCCTGCGGTGCCCGCTAAGCTGCCTCGCGCTGAATGGAGATGCCAAGCTCTCTCAGCATGAATGACAGCCCAGTTCATGAAGACAGTGATCCTGGGCCCAACACCCTCTTTCTCTTTACGCAGTCTCTCCTACCCTCCCTTTTCTCTGCTTTTCCTTCAGTCTAATAAAAGTGCTGTCCTTGTTTACTGTACACCTGTAGCTGTGTGATAACAAAGATGTCTTCCCTCTTGGGGGGTTAACCAGGAAAGAAGTTCAGAGTCAAGAAGGGGCTGCCCCCAAAACTGCTGAGACCCCCCTCCTTACCCGGCCCTGCGGAGCTTGATCGGGTCCTTTAATAACATGCATGGAGGGAAGGAAGTGAACACTGACCTCAGGGTTCCTGTAAATTCTTGTTCCTCCAAAGCCACACCGCTGCCCAGAAACGGGGTGCCCCCTCCTTGGCCATTTGCTCCCACAAGCTCTTACCTACCCAAGGCACCCTGAATGCATACTCAGCTTGTACACTGCATGAAGCCAGGGGGACCACACACTACATACAGTACGTAAGATACTTGATTCCAAAGAATGGCTATACAACGTCCCTGCCATGACCCATGTCCTTCTCTCAACATTTTCTAAGACTAATGTTTCAAACTATTTTGGGTTTGCTACAAAAATTAGAAGCTACAGAGCCCCATCCCCAGAGCTCCGTTCCCAGCACCCTGCGGAACATTCCAGCCCACAAAGCTACATAGTGCCATCGCCCAGAGCCTGTAGTGTCCATTAGGTTCGTACTCAGTACTGTGTCTGCTGTTGGGACAAATCCATTACTTGGCTCCACCAGTACAGTGACCCATGGTGTCCCTCACCACCATGAACATACCCTGCTTCTTGAGAATCCCAGAGAGACTTGACCCCAATCATGTGAATCCTATATGCCCCTTTTAAGTCACAATGCTGTCTCTATGCCCTTCCTTAAGCAACCTTGGAATGAGAGCACGCACACACACCCTACTTGGGTACCTGAGTCAGAGTAAGTGGAACGCCAACACAACGCTGCTGGCGTCCTTACAAAAGGGGGAAACTTGGACAGAGTCTTAGGGACACTCCATGGGAAGCTGGGGCGGCAATGAGGCTCACCTGCCACTGGATTCTAGCAGCCTCATCAGCCAGTACTGAGGCCTCCTTCCAGCTCAGAAAGTGCTCCCCTACCCACAGACCAACCCCCTCAGCTGGGGGTCACCCGGCTGCCATCTAAGCTGTTCTAGTCAGGCTACACTCAGGGTATCTGTTGTATGACTGGCATGCTGTCTCCCTTCAGTTCTCTCCACACCCTGTGCATTCCAGCATCTTCCAAAACCACCTGCGCCTGGGGCAAAATGACCTGCAGCTGAGGCTCTGGTTCCGGGAGTGGCTGGGTCTCAGATGAAGGTCTAATGACCCTCCCCACCCCTCCTGCTGTGCAGGCTGGATCCTGTTGAAGGCAGCCTTTGGGACAGGATGGTGACAGCAGCCACGCTTGGAGGACTGCCTTCTACAGCCATTCTCCAGGAAGCGACCGTCTCCCTACCCAGAAAGATGAGTGGAGGCATATTCATTTTTTCCACAGTCCTGGAGCAGTTTTAAAATATGCAGGAAATTCTGAAAGATGAGTGTGATGACCATCCCACCTGAACACACCAGTTATCCCGTGTGCTGTCTTCCCTCTACCCCTCCTTGTCCTAGAGTCCCCTATACCTGGTGGTGAGCTGCAGACACCAAGGCATTGCCTCCAAAAGGCTCAGCACATTTCTCACAAGAATAAGACAAAAGGCGAGCCTGTAAAAGTCAGTGAGTGCGTGCACAATTTTTCTCCGTCCCTGATCTCATTGCTCTCTTTAGTCACAATGACCTTCTGAAGCACCCGGTGGGCTGTCCTTTAAAATGAGTCCTGCTGATTATCCCCCTGGTGGTGTCCCTGGCACTGCCCCTGCATTTCCTGTCATAGAAAAGGACTGGGCCATAGCAGGACACTGCTCCCCTGTCCAAAGGCCCTGGGTCCCACCTCGACATGCTAACCTTGACCGTGAGCTTAGGGCCCTGCCTCTCGGCTGTAAGAGATTTCTCCAGTGTGATTCCAGGGCATCATTGAGTCTCACCTTCTGGGTGGGGGAGCACGCAAGGAAACTGCATGGTACCAGATCCAGTCTTGGGCTTTCTGGTGGAGTGTCAAAGGGAGCAATACTCATCAGTCTAGACAGAGGGAAGACTGGCAACCAGACAGACAGACACAAATCTCCCTGGTGTCTCCCCACTTCCTGCTGTCTCAAAGCAATGACTTTGCTTTTAGGAGGTACACCTGAGTGTGTAGGCACCTGGGACCAAACGAACGGGAGGATTTGCCTTAGGTAGTACTGGCGCGCCACCTAGTGGTCTTCTGGGCCAGGGCCTCTCATTACCTATAGATGGGGCTCCTATGTTTGTGGGATGATTCCCTAGCCCTGATGGACACCTTAGGGATGAAGGGGCCAGCCCAGCCCAGGATGCCAGAATATTCACTTCCCTAATTCACTTGTGCAAGTGTCATTGTGTGGCCACTATCCATCTCCCCTAGACATCAGAGAAGCAGTTGCACATCAACAGGCCTCACTAGCAAATGGGCCTGGGGAGAGTGGGGGAGACTCTCCCAAGCTGCACTTGACATTTCCTTGCCGATCATGAGAACAAGCTCCCGAGGCCAGGCCCACATCTGTCCAGTGGTCACAGGAGTTTCCTCTAGGTTACATCAGGACTCTTATCAATACCCAAATAGTCAGGGATATTTCCAGGCCCCAGAACTGAAGCTAGACTCCTCCAGGGGTGCAGTGCACCCAGAAGGCTCCTCCCAGCCCCAGACAAGGCTCTCCTTGGACTGAGCCTCGCTTGAAGCTTGAAGGCATGAAGCTGGGTGATTCCCCCAGGCAAAGCCAATTAGATCGGAGGGCACAAGACTACCAGGCACCAACAAGCACCTGGCCAGCCGGAGCTCACTTTGGCTGAGAAGTTGGAGCAAAGTGGGAAAAAGGATTCCATGTTTGTCCATTTGAGCTTACAGTAGACACAGCTGGGCCACTTTCCTCGGTGAGGTAACAATGTTCCATTTTGCGGCATTCTCTGCAGTTTGTTTCTGTCTATTAGTTGTGTTGTTTTGTGTTTGTTTTGTCCCTCGGTGAGGCAACAATGTTCCATTTTGTGGCATTCTCTGCAGTTTGTTTCCGTCTGTTAGTTGTGTTGTTTGTTTTGTCTGGGTTTGTTTCACTGCGCAGCTCAGAACACCCTTGCATTCTCCAGCATCAGCCTTACATGCCCTGGGATTATATCACCACACCTAACAACGGTGTGTCATTATTCAAACTCAACACTTGTCACACTTCCAGAAGCAAAGATTTGTTTTAAAAGCCAATTGCCGCTTTTGAAATACCCCCACCTTGCCATAGCAAATGTCAAAAGAGAGACCCTCTGGGACTTTCCTCCCTACACAAGGACCTGAGATTCTCTATAAAGACAAGAACTCATGCAGTTACCACAATCACCCCAGGAGAGACAGCCTACACAGATCAATGCCCATGCTTGTTACACTCACCTGGCGACCCCATCATGTTTAATGCCCACAAACCAGTCTAATGTATGCAGAAAGGCTGTCAGGCTGTGGGTCCTAGTGAAACCTTGTGAAGTGGTCAGATTGTCAAGACATTTAATATTTAGAGAGAAGGATACATGGACAATACAATGGAGGCTCTAGAGTTCTGGCACCACCTGATAGAAGCCTGGTTCTGTTCACCCACAGCTGAAAGGGGACACTTCTATCCCAGGCACTCCAGACTCTGTCTCTCCAGGGTCACATCATCTCTCCATTTTTTTCCTTGCACTGATGCTGTTATCAGCCCCCTTAACCCTGGCAATTCCCAGGTCCACAGTGGTCCAGTTATGGACCAGCTGCCCCAGGATGAAGCATCTGTCTTTCCATTGCATGGATCAAAGAATTGTTCCAGTCCATGATTCTGCTCTGCTTCATTTAACTGTCCTGTGTTATAGCAAGGCAGCTAATTGGGACAGCTCAGGTTTGACGGGCACACTAGCTCAGGACATCCAGGAATCAGGTGGGATCTGGTAAGGAGGGGCTGACAGTCTTCTGGGACAGTTCCCGCCAGGTTTGGCAAGCAGTTATTATGAAGGAAGCCAACATCTGGAAGCCTCCAGGGCTCAGGCATCATTCATCTTCAACAGAGAATATGAATGAACGTAGAGCCACCAGCCTTGTTCTGAAGATGGTTGAGGACCTCTGAGGCACGGGCTGAGATGTCCTCCACACACTCCCCTGCAGTGGCAGAAACTATGGCATCTATCATGGACAGCACTGGCTGTGCCTAGCAGCAGGTTCCTGGTTCAGAACCACAGCCTCGCCTTCCTGTGAGCTGCTTCCCCGGTCTCCAGCTCTCTGCAGTAACTCCTGGGCTGTAGAAAACAGGGGCTTACTGAAGAGGGAATCTCGGCACCCCCAGAACCCTAACTCAAGCACTCCACCACTCTTCCCCACACCCCTCCCAGCCCCAGGAACACCAGAAGGCCGTCCAGGGGAAGAGGCACAGTGGGAAGCTCCACACTCCTGCAGAGAGCCATCACTCACCAACCGTGCTGAAGACCTCAGACACCTGGTAGTTCAGCTTGGCCGAGGTTTCCATGAACAGCAAGTTTTTGCTCTCCGCAAATTCCTTCCCTTCCTGAAGGAAAAAGTCAGCATGTTTAACGAGAGTCCCTTCTTGACTCACAACAAGAAACTGGAAAATCCCAGCACTCAGGAAGCTGGGGCAGGGATTGTGAGTTCCAGGCCAGCCTTGAACACATAAGACCTGCCTCAAGACAACAGATAAAAGACTGGTTATGCTGGGTCACATGTGTGTGCACACTCTTCACACAGACTACCCCATACACACGTTCTCTGTATGCATATATGTACACACGTACACCTCCTACATGACTCTCCAACCAAAAGGGAAAATAATATGGAATCTTCTGTATTTCTGCACCCATGAGTGCATATCCATGTGGGATTTCATGTGGAGGTATTAACATGTATGACTTTGGAGGCATGTGGTGTGTGTGTGTGTATGCTTATGAAGAGTATATTCATACATGACTCCATACATGTGCTTATGAAGTATGAGCATATATAGAGTATGAGCATAGGTAGAGGGATCATGTGTGTGGATGCAAGTGCAAGTCTCTAAGTGGGTACATGAGTTCCAGAAGCATAGTGTGAGTGAGTGTGTGTGTGTGTGTGCATGTGCGCACATGCGTGCATGTGGTGCACATGTTTCAAGGTCTCAAAAGCCCTCAAGTACACCTAGACAAGGACTCCCTCCTGCTGCCTCCCACTATGTGGCACCTGGAAGGTCACTTCCCGCTCCTCGCCGAGGTCCGTTTTGTTGCCGACCAGCATCACCACCACCTCTCCTGGGTGGAACTCCTTCTCCAGGTCCTCCAGCCACTGCTGGGCCTTGTGAAAGGAATCCTGAAGAGACAGAACAGAAACCATGCTGGAGTTCTCCTTGTTTAGCCAGGAGAGAAAAGCAAATGTCCCATGAGGGCACATGGCCACATCAAGGCCTTTTTCCAGAATGCAATGCCAAGAGACTGCTCTGGTCCCCTGGGAGGGTAGCCAGGATGGGCTGGCCCTGGTAGGGGAGGGCTCTGCAACCAGGCCACACACCAGAGAGCCAGGTCAGATGGCATTTGGGGTCAGGAGCTCCACTCTGGACACCATTTTATCAAGAGTGTTTGAGAGAACTATTATCACCCCAGCCTAGCTCCTAACTGCAGCTCCTCATAGGCTAAGTGGGACAGGGCGGGGGGGGGGGGGGGACATGGCGGGGGGGGGGCTGAATCCCTTGGCACTTTTCCCCTGACCTCTAGAGTCGAGGTTGATGTGGGGAGCCTTCTCTTCACACTCCTGGACCTGTGCCCAACACAGACTTTCTGGATCCACTGGAACTTTCTATCTGAGACCCTCTCCCAAGTCTGTTGTACCCAGTATGGCTTCCTGCCTCCTATCCAGTATGACTAGTCCCCACTTCCCTACCTCCTCTTAGAGGCTCTGGGGCAGCAAGCTCACCCTGCCCTAGGCCAGGTTGAACACACAGACACGTGAGTCCCGTTCTTCAGCATCATCTCCTTGTGTGCAGTGTTCTACACCCCCTCCCCGGTGATACAAGATGGATGGCCTCTGGCGGTGGGCTGGGTCTGTGACAGCCCTCTGCCATGTCAGCAGCACACTGGCACCAGCGATGGTGGTGATGTGTGGGTAAGAAGTGCGCCAGGAGACTGCAGAGAAACAAAGCCTAACTCTGGGCGTGAGGGGTTACCAAGAGGGCTACCTGAATGAGGCGAATAGTTTGGACTTAATGGTCCCTTTTCGTTGATGTGGCGGTTGCCATAAAACATGGTACAGTTGCCTGGGGGAGGAGGTGGGAGGTAACCATACCTTCCGAGTGATATCGTATACCAGGAGTGCGGCATTGGCACCCCGGAAGTAGAGGTGGCAGACACTGTGGTATTTCTCCTGGCCGGCTGTGTCCCAGATCTCAAGCTTCAGAGATGAGGAGCCCATATCCACCACCTTTGTGAAGAATGCACCTGTGGCAAGGAGGCCAATAAGAGTTTGCTGGGGATAACGTGGCCATCGGTGGCTGCTAGTGCGTCATGGCGGTTTATGCCCAGCAGCCCAGTGAGAGGCAGCTAGGTACATGTGGATGCAGGCTGAGTAAATGCCTGTTCTGGAAGCCAGAACTTCCCTACAAAGCCAAGTGCAGCTGGCAACTATTTCATATCCTTATCGGTTTCCACCCGGGGTGTAGCTAAACCCTTGGAATGAGGTAAAAGACTTCTGAAGGAGTTGGAAATGGAAGTGGGTGGGGAGGGGGTTAGGGTGGGGGATGAAATTCTCAAAGAATAAATTACAAATATTATAAGTCTTTTTTTAATGTATACAGGTGCTATGTCTGCATGTATGCCTGCAGACCAGGAGAGGACATCAGATTGTGAGCTGCCATGTGGATGCTGGGATTTGAACTCAGGACCCCTGGAAGAGCATCCAGTACTCTTAACCTCTGAGACATCTCTCCAACTCTATATGCTTAGAGTGACTCAATAAAAAGTAATTAGAGACAAAATCATCAGGGGTAGGCATAAGCAGACTTCATGGCCCAGACCACTATTGTATCACAGCCCACACACACATCAGAAATGCAGCAAAGCTAATGAATGACTCAACATGCTGCCCAGCATGCGACTTCAAAAACCAGTCAGTTCTAACATCAGCTAACGGCAGTGACTAGAAGCAAAGGCAGCTAGAATGTCATTTAGTTTTGCCCAGGCTTCCTAAGGATTGTCAAGGTGTCTTTCGAAAAGCTGAACTTCAGGGCTGGAAAGATAGCCAATGGCAGAGTGCTGGCCTCATACACTTAAGGCAGCCCTTAAGTTCGTTCCCCAGAGAGCCCCAGCACCAGGAACTCTACCCACCCCAACCCCTGATCATGCCATAGCTCGTTCTCTCTGACTGGGCCTCTGACCAGACACTCGGGAAGCTAAGAAAACAAAAACAAAAACCCAATGGGTACTGAATAACAAGAATGATAGGCATGAGGTGGGGTGGGGTTGCTCTCTAACCTGTCCTTGCTCCGAAATAAAATATGCCATGTATGGGGGCACACACTTATCATCACAGCACATGGAAAGCAAAAGCAGAGGATGGAGAGTTCCAGGCCAGCCTGAGCTACATAGTGAGACCTTGTCTCACATACATACATTCACATACATGCTCACATACATGCTCATATATATTTACTTACATCCTCACATATATGCATGCTCATATGTATACACACATACATGCAGCAAACACACAGACAGGTTTTCCCTCTCTTCCCTTATAGCATCCCCAGCCCAGATCTAGTAGACCAAACCCAAGTAGAAAGAAGGTCAGTATGTGATGCTGATTAATTGTACAGGCAGTGTGAAGTTAGAGCTACAATCATGAGAATGCAGTGAGGACCAGGAAAAGGCGAGGGAAGCCTAGGTACATAGTGTCGGGCATAGAGCAAGTTCTCAATAAAGTTAATTAGGGAGCCTCATTAGCTAGCTGGAGGGCAGCTAGAAAGAAGGCCCTCCTCAAGCCCCCATACTCAAGACTTCTATGACGAGCCTCTGCCCCTACATCTACACACATACACACAAATGCCAGCTGGGCTGAAACCTGACCCCTAGTGAAGGTTGTTTACACACACTTCCAGAACAGTGTGCCTGCCTGCCCTTGATGGGCAAGCCAGTCCCTCCCTGCAATCCCAGCATACCCAGCCTTGGGTTTTAAGACAGGGGCCATCCTGAAGCGGACCACATTCCCATCTGTCCCTACCAGGGCTCTCCTCACTTACACCCCACCGTTGGCAAGACATTGCTGAAGTCCTGCTTCATGTACCGAAGGACCAGGCTGGTCTTGCCCACAGAACTGCTTCCAAGCAGAACCAGCTTGCTCACATAGGGCTGGCCAGAAGTAGTGCTGATCTGTGACAGCCCAGCAGCCTGCGCCATGGCCTGCAAACAACAGAAGAATGAGGTGGGTAGGAAACCTCAATAAGTCCAACACACAGACACACACACACACAGACACACACACGCAGACACACAGACACACACACACAGATAGACAGACACACACACACACAGACACACACACACAGATACACACACACAGACACACAGACAGACACACAGACACACACACGCAGACACACATACACACACACAGACACACACACACAGACAGACAGACACACACACAGAGACACACACACACAGATACACACACACAGACAGACAGACACACACACACAGACACACACACGCAGACACACATACACACACACACATACACACAGACACACACACAGACAGACACACACACACACACGCAGACACACATACACACACACATACACACAGACACACACACAGACACACACACAGACAGACACACACCCACACACACAGACACACACACACAGACACACACCCACACACACACACACGCAGACACACATACACACACACATACACACAGACACACACACAGACAGACACACACAGACAGACACACACCCATACACACACACACACACACACACACACACACACACACACACACGCAGAGGTGGGTGCTTCCTAGATAGAAGGCAGCCGCTGTGCTGGGAAGCTGTCTGCTGCGTGAGCAAGGGCCTCCACCAGCATCACATGAGCTTTCTTAGCCTAATTCGCTCACACCCTGTTTCTCACTGCTTACAAACTTACCCCAAACACACAGGGAGGTCAAAAGCACCTGCACACCTCTCCATTGTTCCTGGATTAAAGTCAGACCTCCCAGACCCAAGCGGGTGCGGCTCTCTTCCTGTCTATGTCAGCCTATGCTTCCCAGGACTTGCCTTTTCCCTCAGATCCTCTGTTTTCCCCTTAAAACTTCGCTCTGTAGTACAAGGGGAGTCATCTAGGGCCAGGAATGGTAAGATACACCTACAATCCCAGCGTGCCCGAAGCTGAGGCTGGAGGATGCCAAATTTGAGATCTGTCTAGTCTACACAGTAAGACTCCATCAAACAAGAGGGAGGAGGGGATGGAGGGAGTGAGGGAGGGAAGGAGGGAGGAAGAGAGGAAGGAAGCCAGGCACGAGGCAGGGGGCAGATATCTGTGTCTCAAGGACTTCAACACACTCATCCTTTCTGTTGTCTTTGAGGCCCCAGAGCCCAGCTCTGCAGTAAAAACCCAGAAGCCCTGTGTGACGTTAAGGACAGCAGCTTCCAGGCACATGTCAGACTGTGCAGGAGCTGTGAGCCCGGCACTCACTCTCACCGGAACTCCCAAGCTCCCAAGGAAACTCCATAGACCGGTGAACTCTCTCTCTTTCTTTCTTTTCTTTCTTTCCAAGACAGGGTTTCTCTATGTAGTCCCAGCTGCCCTGGAATTCAATCAGTAGACCAGGCTGACCCTGAACTCACAGAGATCCGCCTGCCTCTGCCTTTCTAGTGCTGGAATTAAAGGCGTGCGCCACCACACCTGGCATCTTCCTTTCCAAACCACGTGTGAAGACATGAGGTTTCTTGTGTCCCGGGCCTATTGCTGGTGACCTCCCTGTGCTGCCGTGGCCACATATATTCCCGTGAGCTCTGCATGGGGCCAAGGTCCAGAACAGAAGTCTCATCTCACATAAACAGCACAGGGCAAGAAGTTTTTTGAGTGTGGCGTCCCCAACCCAGAGAAGGCTGACAATACCTGGTCGTCTCTTTTTTATGTTCACAGCCCCACCCCCACCGCCTGGTTCTGCAGTGTCATAAAGTGATTGAAAAATGGAGTGACTGTGGTGTCATTCCTCCTGTTTACTCTCTGGACCACTTCTAGGAATGTCCCCTAATTAATGTCTACGCCCATTATGGGTGGCCAGTCTCTCAAATACAGCCTTTCTGACACCACAGTGGGCAAAGGCTGGGTGGGAACAGAGTGGGGAGGTAAAGGGAAGGTAGACAGGAACCACAGCACAGACCACGTGAGACTCCGGTGACAGAAGAAAAGACGTAACACAGACACGAGGTCTCACAGAATCCTAATACCAAGGAGCAATTGTAGAGAGAGTTAGCTGGAGTCCTAGAGAGAATGCTCTAGGTTTCCTTCTGCCACTGGGAGGCGCTCAGGCCAGCAGCACAGCAGTGACCAGCAGCACAGTAGGCTTGTGGCCTTTCTCAAGGGACCTCTAAAGCTTCCCCGTGCACTGGTTTCAGGGCAGGATCAGAAACAACTAAGTAGTTTTTTAATGCTTTTTAAAACCCTATTCGCCCATCTGGTGGTTTGAGTAAAAATGGCCCCATAGGCCCATAGGGAGTGGTACTATTAGGAGATGTGGCCTTGCTGAAGTAGGTGTGGCCTTGCTGGGGGCAGACTTTGAGGTCTCAGAAGCTCCAGCCAGGCCTATGGTCACTGTCTCTTCCTACTGCCTATGGATCCAGATGTAGAGCTCTCAGCTCCTTCTCCAGCACCGTGTCTGCCTGTGTGCCAACAAGCTCCCTGCCATGATGATAATGGACTAAACCTCTGAACTGCAAGCCAGCCCCAATTAAATGTTTTCCATTATAAACACTGCCATGGTCATGGTGTTTCTTCACAGCAATAAAACCCTAACTAAGACAACCCAACATCACAACATCACAAAAATTAACTAACTCAAAATTAAAATGCAGATGACCAAAGCCAAGTCCAAGAGCCACTTCTAGAATTGCCTTTGTTTCTTTCAAGTCTGGCAGCAATGTCTAGCACATAGTAGGTGCTCAGCACATGTCTAAGCAATGGATGGATGGATGGATGCATGCATGCATGTAGTGGTGGATACATGGGTGAGTTGATGGATGCAAGAGTGAGTGAATGGATCTGTGGGTGGGTAGATGGACAAATGATACGTAGAAAGACAGCTGCATGCATAGTTGCATAGATGGAGGTGAGTAAGCAGATGGATGGATGGATGGATGGATGGATGGATGGATGGATGGATGGATGGGCAGACGGATGGATGGGTGGGAGGATTGGTGGGTAAATCCATAGGTGAATAGGTGGTTAAGTGGGTGGGTGATTGGTTAGAGTGGATGGTGGATGAATCAGTTGCCTGAAAGGTGGATGGACAAGATAAATATTTTACCCACCACCTATGTTTTGAAGTATCTGACTGAACTGAGAGAGAGAGAGAGACAGAGACAGAGAGAGAGAGAGAGCAGTCAGCCTCCAAGAGTAATATTGGCAGCCTCCACCCAGAAACTCTACCCTTTGTGCCTAATGGCAAGCCGGAGTCCAGAATCCTGAATAAGGACCAGGAAGCACACGCTGTCTTGGAGCCCAGGCACTGCCAGGAGCCATCTGTCAACTCCACACCAAACAGGTCGGGCTCTTCCTTACTAAAGCTCTGGTCCTGCTCACTCTCATCAGCAACAGTCTCCTGCCTGATGCAATACCTACCACCCTAGCTCCTCCACCGTGTCTCCACCCCCAACAACCAACAACATAGACCACAGGCCAGCCATCATGGGGCCTCACTCCCAGTTCCCCTTGGTTGAAGTGGCCTATGGCATCAGTGGCTCAACTTTCACACTGGTTTGTGACCACCACCCTGCAGCTGGATTTCCTTCAATGAGCTTGTCCCAGCCACTGAGGGAGCTGAGGCGCCGAGGGAACAGTAGGCGCTCACTCTCTCCTGAATGAACCCGGAAGTGGCTCCACAGAGTCTAACTGGATTGACGTGCTTTCTGCCCTGGGCTCCCATGCCAGTCATACTCCCGTTCCAGATGCTTGTTGGACAAGTGCCTGGTGTACTTGCAGAAAGGGACAGAGCTGCCAGCTGGCATTGAAGACCCTGCACGGGTCACTGTGGGACCCGCCTGTACATATATAGTTCAGACAGGGCTGTTGAGAGCCCAGCTGCCAGGGCCTCCAGAGAGAGACGAGGCGGGTACGTTCTCTGAGCCCACCTGATCCCGCACAAAGACACCTGCCAAAGAGGAGGAGGAAGTCTAAGGGCCTGGCACAACCCCCGTGGGACAAAGGCCCAGGAGATTCTCCAGGCACAGCCGGAACTGGAGACTGCTGTTTTTATGCTCTCCGGGACTCCCGAGGCACTAGCTGGGTCTAGCTGCTGGTGGAGTGGCAAGATGGACAGTCAGCCTCAGGACGGTACAGGGGAACTCTGCCTTGGCACCTCCAAACCAGTGCGGATGTGTTCAGCACTCAGGATGCCGAAGCAGGGGATTGCCAAAAGTTTCAAGCCATTCTGGGCTACATAGAAGATCCTATCTCAAAATACAAAAGGAAAACAACAAAACAGCTAAATAAATAATCCTAGAGCTTTAATGTGATCATATACTCTGCCCTAAAAGCATAAAGCTTGGTCATAACATCAACTGCAGTGTCTGCACAGCTTTGTCACATTCCTACAAATTATCTCACTTAAATGGCTCATTTCCCCACTACTGGGTTGGTTTTTTTTTTTTTTTTTTAATATTAATTACTTTTCTCTGTTGTAGATAAGACCACAGTAGATGCTTTCATATTGCTTTTTGAGTGACTCTGTGATGCAGGTTTCCAACAGTAGCAGCTGGAACTCTCTGTACTGAGAGAAAAGTGGAAGTGTGGTACCTGCCCCCCCCCCTAGAATCTAGATCTTTCTGAAGGCAATGGCTGCCAGGCTGTGAGTAGGAGTCTCTTCTCATCCCCACGTGGTAGCTTCTCCAGCTGTCACAAGCCTGCCTCTCTTTCGCCAAAGGAAAAACCGGGCAAGGAAGGAGGGAGTTCGGTGAGGCTGTACCCCGTCCTCCTTGCCCAGGTCCTCAAAGCCGTTCATTCAGAACAATGTGGCAGTTGATATGAGAGACAAAGCACACTGCAGATTAGAAGGAAGTTTTGGAAGAATGTCTGCCAAGCTCCTGTTATTGCTTGAGCCTCTGCTGCCATCTGAAAGAGGCCTCGTTAGAAGGCGTCTCCTCACACTGGCAGTTTATGTTCAAGGAAAATTCAAATGCTATTTCCTTCCCAGAATACGACCTCGGGAACCACCTGTGATCCAAACAAGGACACTGTGGGCCACGAACAAACACAAGGAGTGTATTGTTTCAGCTCTGCCTCTGATTAAGCTCCTGAGAACACAGAGCTACACATCTGCATGCACGTACACACTTACACACACACACACACAGCACCCTGCAAAGTCCGGTTAAAACAATGACTCACCTGTTCACTTTGAGGAAGCACGACAGACCATCATCCCACAGGACCCCAGCTGGTTCCCTTTCAAACCCTCCTCCCTCCCACTGGCTGTGCTGCCCTTAGGTGCTGGATGGACTGGTCAGGGGCCTGCCAGGGCAAGATGGGAGGAGCTGTGTACCACTGGACAACCAGCAGTGGAGCAGAGGAAATAGGAAGGCAGCCGTTCCTGCCAGGGTCCCAGCCTGCAGGTTAGGCCTCTACTCTTCCTGCAAACCCCAGAGCAAAGTCCCCACATGATCATGTGATCACCTGGGCCGGAGTAGGCTAGAAGTCACATTCTAGTTCTCTACTGGCCTCACCCAGCTGCAGCCCAGAATCTCATCCATTTCCGGGTCTTGCCTGTTACAGCTTATACCTGAAAGCATCACAGATTTGCACAACAGCTCCTTGGTTATATGAGCTCACTTCTTAACTCTTTATACAAACAGCTCAAGTCGAGGAGGCATCCCAGGTGGGCAGGGCCAGGGGCCAGAGCCTGGGAATGGTGTACCCTGGGGCAGGTAATTGCCTAGGTAGGGCTGGAGAATCCCCAGAAGAAACTCTAGGCTGAAGGAAGATGGGCAGATGAACTCACAACAGCATGGTTGGGGCTCCAAGGAGAGTTCAAGACTCAGGGCCGCAGTGTTAATAGGTAACTTTCAATCTGATTATTAAACTGTTGAAACTGTGGACCCGGAAGAAGTGGGGATTCCCTCAGGAATCTCATCCTGGGGAACACATAGCCAGGAAAGAGATTTCTAATATGCCAGACCACCTTAAAATATGAGACCGAAGCTCAGATGAGCATGGGTCAGTGGTGGACAGGACCACACCTGTCTGGGACTGCTAGATGTGCCTATCCTCGGCCTTCTATTTAAGCTCTGATCTTGCTGCAGACTGGCTTGAGGGTGAGCTGGACCTCTTTTCCCTTCTTCCCAATGTAGCCACATTGAATAACTCTCCGATTTCTGCTTTCCACTTTTAATTTGGTTCTTTTCATTGGCTTATTAAGGATGGTTGGTCAACCTTCCTTGGCACAGGTTGGGTACCTCCAAGTCTGATAACAATAGCATGACAGACAGGAAACAGAGGGCTCTGAGGAGGAACTGGGCCCCTCCTTATAAGTCCTGAAGATTGGGAAGGCTTTAGTGCATAGCAACTAAGCTGCTGAGTCTCTGCAGGGCACAGAGAAGCTGGAGAGGAAGTGCGTGCATGCATGTGTGTGCAGCAGGCCCTCTGATGTGTCCCTTCTGGAAGTTCATAGCTAGAGATTTGTAGGAAGTGCTCTGAGCAGAGGGCCTGTGGTGTCTGTGAGGAGGGAGGAGCCACAGCCAGTGTCATGTGACCTGGTCTGGATCCTAAGGGTGCCCTTAGAGCACCATCTCCACTTTAAAGGGAGAAAAGGCAGACATCACACTTGGGAAGGGGAGGCAAGCGGGTGGAGAGTGTGAGCAAAACTCCTGGAAAGAGGCTGTCTGCAAAGACTGGCTGATTAGCTGCTGTGTGTGCAGCGGCTGGAATGTTGCAGGTCTAGAGGCCTAAAACTTTATCTCAGGCTAGCTGTAGCCCTACAATTGGCTGCTTGCCCAGTTCCTTGTGTTGGAACTAACATCTTATCACTAGTAGATAAAAACTGTTTGGATTCTCAGCAGACCACCAGCATCCCAGACCCAGAAGCTAAGAACATTGTCAGATAGGATTCCAGGCCTATGGCAGAGAGTCTTCTAACCTGATTCTCTGGGTTTTTTGTTTGTTTGTTTGTTTTGGGTTTTTGTTTTGTTTGGTTTGGTTTTTCAAGGCAGGGTTTCTCTGCATAACAGCCCTGGCTGTCCTAGAACTCACTTTGTAGACCGGGTTGGCCTCCGAAATCACAGAGATCCGCCTGCCTCTGCCTCCTGAGTGCTGAGATTAAAGGCACGTGCCACTGCCTGGCAACCAAGGTAGTTTTTACATGCTTGATTTATAACTCTCTTTGTTCTATTTCTACAAGTCTCAGTCACTGTTCTATTGCTGTGAGGAGGCACCATGGCCAAGACAGCTCTTATAAAAGAAACCCTGTAACTGGGGACTTGCTGTCGGTTTCACAAGGTTAGTCTATGATCTCCACGGTGGGAAGCAGACAGGCACGGTGCTGGAACAGAGCTGAGAATTTTACATCCTGATCCACAGGTAGAGACAAAACACCAGGCCAGGTGGAGGCTTTTGGAACCACAAAGCCCACCCTCGGTGACACATTTCCTCCCACAAGGCCACGCCTCCTAACCCTCCACAGACAGTTCCATTCCCCGGTGACCAAAACTATGAACATGTGGGGATCATTCTGATTCAAATCACCACACTGTAAAAACACCATCTGAGAACAGGGCATCTGAGATCACCTAGCTCTGTGTTTCCCAGGCCACGGTCACTCAGATGTTGGCTTTGGAATGAACGGTCTTTTGTGCCCTTTGAGGTGAGAGCTGTGCTTTTCCGGTCAGTGTGAGTTTGAGGTCCAGTTGAGCTATGTAGCAAATTCTAAGACAACCCAGGATGGAGGGTAAACCAACAATAACAAAGTTTATTCTGAGCCACATATGACCGGCTGTGGCCCAGGAAAACAGATGCAAATCATCTACTATAAAAAGGGGTGACATGAGCGTGACAGCTACAGGAGAGAAGACACCCAGATATCAACATACTTGCCAGTGACATTGGTGGAGCGTCACATAGGAGGGCTGCAGCAGAGCAGGGAAATCCCTTCACGGGACTTGGTAACCGAACCCTGTGGTCCCTGGGCCTGTGATCTCTCACATTTTGGTTCCTGGATAAACTACCTCTAATTTCCTTTGAGGTGAGAACTGAGTTTTTGTGTTGGCATTGCCTCTGACTGGTACACAGAGCAAGTACTTTGCCGGCTGGGCCATCCTCCCAGGCTTTACCTGATTTATTCTTGGCTGACAGATAACCTTGCTGAAATGCATCACTAAGCTCAGAAGGCCTCTCCACCCCCACCAACCCTAAAGCTAAGAATCTCAGAGTCTGCTGACAAGGGCTCCAGTGACTTAGCTACTCATCTTTACCTTTTTCCTGTAATACTACCTAACCTCAGGAATGCTGCCCATGGCATCACAGTCGTGAGCAGGTAGAGGTGTGTGCACCAGCTTCCCCTTCTAGAATTCTGCTACCCCACGCCTGGCTTAACCACCACTACCACCACCACCCCGGCCCATTAATACTGGGCTTGTATCTAGCAGCATACTGGGCCCCGGTATTCTGGCTATTTCCAAGCAACCTGGTATTCTCTCAGGGTAGACCAGGATAAACCAGAATGCAGACATTTGAGGTGGGGGTGACATTCCTTCTCTGTGTTTGGGTTACCCTGTACCAAAGGCCATTATTGGGGTAGTCTTCCCCTGCAAGGTCATCTCTTGGAGACCTTGAACCAGGCATCCCCTACCCAACACCTGTCTGCTCTCTCCCGAAGGCAGAGGTTGGACCAGGCAGCCCCAGACCTGCCTTTCTGACCTAAGTGATCAGGTCATTCTAACCTCTGAGAGGCATCTGCTATGAGAGGGTAAGCTATGGGACTCTATGAACCAAAGGCTCTGTCCTCGGGGCTTACACGTGAAAATCTCTACTTCAGGGTTGATGAGAACCCACAACTCAAAACTTCAGATTATAACCCACACCACCACTGCTGGCAGTGGGGAAGAGATGAGGCCGTCCATAGTAATGCGTGTCGGTGGAGAAAACTAGCATTGTTTTTATAGTGTTCTATTACTTTCTACATCAACCTTGGTGCAAGGGCACCGACAAGAATTCTCACCAAGCCACTTTAGTAGGTCACATCTACGTGCACATAGCTTCTAGGGCACACATTTACCCTTCAAGAGAAGTCAGGACTATGCCAGGCTTGCGGACACACACACTTATAACCCCAGCACTCGGGGGCGGAGGAGAGGGCGTTGGCTTCATAGTGAGACTCTATCTCAAAAAGAATCCTAAATTATTGAATTGTGTACAATTGTAAGGGCTGCAGGTCCTGTGCAATCCCTCCCTCGCCTCTGTTCAAACACCCCATGATAGATTTTCTATTCCCATAGACAGTTCTTCCATGTGAGCTCCTTGCTGTCCTATGACCTCTAGAACTTTGACCTCCAGAACTATGACCTCCAGAATTCCTACCTATCCTGTGCCCCACAGAAGCAACCAGACCCACTGCTGCTTAACCATGTGTGAGAGTTTTGTAAACACTTTATACTGAACTTCTAGATATACGTAGGCATGTGTGTCCCTGTGTAGATTTGTGCGTGCTGTGCTGTGGAGGGCAGAAATAGGGCTTCAGACCCCCAGAGCTGGAGTTATAAACCCAGCATGGGTACTGGGAACTGACCTCAGGCCCTCTGGAAGATGAGCGAGCACTCTTAACCCCTAAGTCATCTCTCTCATCCCCTTTTTATTATGGTGTGTGTGTGTGTGTGTGTGTCTGTGCGCGTGCAAGTGCATGCATGCACACACCATAGTGAACATACCTAGGTCAAAGGACAACTGTGGGAATCCTCCCAGTAGATGGGTCCCCAGAGGTGGAATCTAGTCACTAGGCTTGGCATTAAGTATCTGTAATTACCCACTGAGCCAACCTCACTGTCCCCTCTTGCGGGATTTTAAGCAGTTCTCTGGGTTGCAGCAGACCAGAGTCCCTGTTTCTGTGCACAGACCTCAACTGAGGACCCCATTACTTTCCTGACAAAAGTAACCAGATGACTGGGCTCTGGCCAGCCAGGCAAGCTGGCCCTCTCCTGGGGATTGGGTTGGTGTGACGTGGAGTGTGGCTGAGTGGCTCCTTCCTTGGGCTTTCGTGCAGAGCTTTGGCTAAGGACAAACAGACTGATAATCATCTGATGTCCCCTCTTCTGCAATTCTCCAATCACCTAAGGACCTTGAGATAGACAGGAGCTGGGGACTGCCCCTCCCTGCAACTTTTACCCTTCTTAACTCAGTGTGAAATTCCAGCAGTGATTCCTAAATGCCTAGCTAAATTCCTCAGCTCAGTGATCAATGCTGGACATGGCTGCCAGCCAACACAGCAGGAAACCAAGGTCAGGTCCTATCCCAGGTACCCCAGCAGGGGGAGACAGAGCCCTGCAGAGCAGCAGGTCACTGTCCAGGGTTC